GAAACTAATTAAGAGAGAGGGAGAGGCTGATTAGATTTTGTTGCCTGCCTGATCAGATTTTGAGACTGACTCGTGCGGATTCCGAGGTGCCTGTTGAGACATTTTTTTAATTCTCCAACTAAAATTCAACGGATCATAGCGCATTAGTTTTACGTCGGATTTCCAAAAAACAATTGTGTAGAAAAATCATATGTTTTGTGCTCTCCTGTATCCAATTTGATATTTTTTGGAGCAAAAAATTGTCAGGTCGTATCAGTTCATACCAATTCATATAAAGTTCGTGTTATTCATATCAAGATTGAATCAGTTTTATGTCATTCATAACATATCATATCAATATCATATAAGTTCATATAATTTCATATAAGTCCTATGTCATTCATATCATATCAATTGATATCAAGTTCATGTCATTCATATCAAGATCGTATCAGTTCTATACCATTCATATTCATATCATATCCGTTTATATCAGTTCATATGATTGATAATAGTATAACTTATACATGTATTGAAGAGTTAATTTTTCTTTGTTAGAAATATAGCAAAATGGATAACAATGTGTAGATCAAAATTAATACATTCTTTCTATTCCAAATTTTTTTAATTCCCGAGTTAAAACAAATTATACACGATTCTATTTAGAAAAATAGGGATTAGGACACAAATACATTCCCTCCTCTAAATGCATGTCACGCTGTCAGAAAAAAAAAAGATGGTGATATTACCAATCCGCACACTCCTTTTTTTGTTCTTGATTAATGTGGGCCATCGGATCTACTACGAGATGAGGTTTGGGTTTTGCAGAGTTTTGTAGCTTTTAATTTTGTACAATAACCCTTCCCGGTGATACCATTAAAAAATATAAAAATTGCCCTTTTAAAAAATGGGTAACCCTTAATTGATATTTTTATGAAAAAAAAAAAACCCAGTAGAAACAGCATTGCCCAAAATTGGGGAAATTAGTGAGAGGATTTGGTCAATAATCTTTTATTAGTAACCATGCATAACTCAACACTTATCGTTTATGGAAGACAATTAAGTTTTCTCCAATTAATTTTTACAGATTATATTTCTTTCGTTTTAACTCGTAATTTTATTTTTTTCACATGTAAATTAAATTAATTGTGCTCTCTCAATTGACATTTACTTTGATATATTTTGGAATAAAACAAACTGAGGCATTTATTGTCAGTCTATACCATATGATAATGCTTGGTAGTACACAAAAGATTATATCACGTGGTATGGAAATTTATCATGGTGGTATGAACATAGCAGAGTTCAGAATGGTTGCATACATGATAGTAGGAATATACGAACCGTCATTTATCATCTTTCATCACCATATACCACCATATACCATGTTGGTATAGGTTGGTATATTTAGTCTTGAAATATTTTTCCAGAAATTTGTAGATGTAATAGCACGATGAACTCGTTCCTTCTGGGACAAATTTTCAAAAAATCGAGTTAAAAATGATGGTGTTATCGTACCAGGATGATAACGAGTGGTATGGGTGGTATGAATTCTTTTTTTCTCAAAATATATTGAAAATAACTATAATTTTGTAGATCCCAACCTCCTCGTTACATTTGTGCAAAAAAAAAAATTGAAATCCAAATTAAATCAAAGAATATAAAAAAAAACAATTCAAAAAATAGACCAAACAAAAAATTATTAATTTTGGTCTCTTAGATCTGGCCTCACTTAAAGTAAAAGATCCATAATTAGTTATATATATGTATACAGCATTAAAGAGTTATACACCCTATCTTAAACTGAGAAATTGGGGTTTAGTCTCCAAATATGAAATTATCCCATTGTGGGATTTCTTTTTTCTCCATAACATTAGATAATTATTGGTGTCAAATGATTGTGAAATCCAATCTGTGGATAATGGTTGGGAGTTTTGTGGTGGTTGGTTTAAGGTTGGAGACAAATCGTTGTCCCAAATATAGCAAACAAATATAATACCAATTAAGAGCACACCAAACTGGCTGCGGCACGGAAAGGAAAGCTGCCCTTAATCAGTATGCTTAATCCCACATTTAGTAGGGCACACGGATTAAGCTTAATTAGGCGAATATTGCAATCCAGGTGATGTGCAAGTCTCAACTTGCAAATAGTGAAGTAGGTGGATAGATAGATAGATTGATGTACTCGGATCGCAGCTTTAGAAAAAGCGTAGTCCACAATGAGTTAGCAAGGTTGGTTTGTATTTTAAAATTTTAATCAAATACAAGGGTGTTAGTATGAACCGATGTAGCAAACGGTTTACACTTTAATGGTCAATCGATTTTAAATCGTTAAAAAATTATTTATGAGTTGGTAACTCATAAATAATAATATTATAAATAGACACACATAATAACTCATATAGCACTATAAATTAATATATATATTAACGTTATACAATAATTGAACCTATAAAAACACTAAATCCTATCAACACCTAAACAATAGAAAATTTTCATCAAAACGCATGCTTAAACATTTATTCGATTAAACCAACTTAATAAAAAAAGCTCATTTTAAGAAATGAAATTTTAGGGATTGATTCAACGAAAAAAAAAATTAGGGATTGAAATCATAAAAAAACATAAATTCTTGCCGATGACTAGCTGGGAAATGGAGTCCGGATCCTGTGACCAGGGGGGGTGCTTAGTCACTTGACTAAGCCCCTCCTAACCTTTGGATCTAGATGGACTGATCTAATGGTGAAATTTAGGGAAGAGATAATTAAATAGTGCATGGGCAATATTGAAATTATAAAAAATTGCATTTAATTTATTTATTTTTTCTTCCAATCTTCCTTTTCTACGTTGCTATTCTCAGTTATGGAAGAGAGAGAAACGCAGCAGTGGGAGAGAAGAACGGCGACGGTGAAAGAGAGGGGAGCGACGACGACGATGGAGAGAGAGAATGGAGATCTCGACGGCGCCGACGACGGTGGAGAGAGGGAAAGGAGATCGCGACAGAGGCGGCAACCTTGGAGAGAGTGAGAGAGAGAGAGAGCAGATCTAGTCGTCGGAAAACAGAGGAGAGAGAGACGATGGTGGAGGAGAGAGAGGCGGCGGAGAGAGCGCGTCGGCACAGTGGAGGAGAGAGAGAGGCGGTGCGGCGATGGAGAGAGAGATGGAAATGGCAGTAGAGAGAGTCAGCGGCGGCGGCGGTGGAAAGAGAGTCGACGGCGGTGACAACAGTGGAGAGAGAGGGAAGAACAATTATTTGTAATGCAAGTGTTGTCGGTTTGTATTGTTAGTATTTTTGTACATAATGTCAGTGTGATTTGTATGGTTTGTATGTTTTGTAAAAATGACAAATATGTTGGACAAAAATAACAAAGCTTACAAACATTACAAAAGAACTCGACAAACATTACAAAACAACTCGACAAACATTACAAAACATACTAACAGTACAAAATAACACTACTTACAAATACAAATCAATAAACTTGTATTACAAATCAATAAATAGAAAGTGTACAAATCATAACATTAAGTATACAAACTAGACAAACAAACATTAGAAATAACAATATATACAAAATAGTCATATAAACATTACAAACACAACAGACTAAAATAACAAAGTAGAATGATAAACGATACAAACTGAATTGGTATAAACAATACAAACTGAACTTATAAACATTACAATATAGGTTGACAATCATCACGAATTCAACACTGTTGCCGGAAAATCATCCACCACCGTCTCCGGTCGCCGGAAAACTGCTCCACCGTCGCCGGAAAGTTGGCAAGAAAACTCTCTCTCTCTCTCGTAACTGGGACACAAAAAACCCCACGGCGGGAGAAATTCCCAGGAACGATGGCCGCAGGCGGGGAGGGCGGAGGCCGCACTTTTTTTGTCTTTTAATTTAGTTGTTAAATAAATAAATTAAGTAATTACCACCTTACCCTTCATTAAACTAGATAAATCTGAACCATTGAATTTTAATAAGCTTCAATGATTTAGATTGACTTAGTCATGTAACTAAGAGACACCCCTTAGTCACATAATCTTAACCCTATATCATTATCATAATCAACCAACTAGGGTCGAAACTGACCACTTTTGTGTATCATGCTTATCGAGTAAACCTAACCAAAAAGAGAATTAGATATCATATTACCATCACATGACCAAGTCAAAAGCTAGCCATTTTGAACAACAAAGAGAAGTACCCCCATAAACAAATCACAAAGAAATCCATCTCCACGAGCGATTAGGATTTGTTTTGGGACATAATTAGTTTACTACTCTGCCCGCCACCATATCCCATATATGCATGCGATGCAATGAGTAGGGGTGGAGTTCTGTCGGTTCGGTTATAATCGAAAGGTAGGTTATCAGTTGAACTGAACTACCTCCCAAACCTACCGACCACCGACCAAAAAGAGGTATTAAGGCTTCGGTTATTTTGGTTTTCGCTTAATCGAGCTGCCCCCAAGACCAAAAGTATCTCGCCCATCCCTCCGAAAACCGACCGATTCTAGGTTTATCTCGATTTTCAGTTAGTGGATAACCAACCGATTTCTATTGTAATCGGTCAGTCAATTGCTAACCACTAACCGATTGTCTCGCCCTAGCCATGAGTAAAACCGGGAAAAGAAAACTGGAAAAAATGCCATTTGTGTTTTATATTACCATTTTTGTTTACGTTTTGTCGCTGGTCTGTCGGACTCGAGTCTCACGACTGAACATGTTGTGAGAAATGAGGGAAAAAAGAAGATAAGGGAGAACACGTGGATGGTGATCTAGGCTAAGGATAAAGAAGAATCCTCTCTCTCTCTATGTCGACCCAACCAAAAGCAGACGAAACAAGAAGAGAGAGAGAGAGAAGGAAGAAAGAGTGAATTGGAGTACAAGGCAGCTGTGCATCAAAAGCTCTGCATGCCAGCATGCACTACTTTGGTAATAACACCACAAAAGGAGAATAAATTGGCATGTGGTCTCCTCCTCCGCCGGCGCCGGGGGGGTGTTACCGCCGGCGAACAGTTGTCGTGTATTGGCTTGCCATGCAAATCGGAGAGAGAAAGAGAGATGGGCAGGAGGCAGGTGCAAAGCAAATAGATTCACCTTAAAATTTGTCCCCGGAAATTAATACTTATATATACGAGAGTAAAATGGATCGATGAATCACAACCCTAGCTAGCTAGTTTGCCAACTTATGCCATCCACTTGGTTGGCTGTGGAATGATCTGCTCTGCCAGCACAGAGACTCCTCCTCCGAGCTCCGGCCATTTTACTACAGCCACGTAAGGTCTCTTATTCTTTTTTTCCAATGGGACCTTTTCTTTATTTAATAAGTGGATGCATGTGGGGCTCGAGGTTTCACAATGGAACATAGCAATACCCACAATTAGTGTAATCCGATTTGGTGTTTCGCTGAACAACTATAGTCATTCCGTCACAATGGAACATAGCAAATAGATTCACCTTAGAATGTGGTAGAGGTCCCTAGACTTGACTCGCATTCATGTTTTTCAAATTGAGCTCCAAAGTAGGCTTGACAAACACGTTGCCAGACTTAGCCATTTTCAGGTAGTTTCCCAGTTTTGGCATAGCCTTTTGGTCAGGTTCAAAAAGGGTCTTCTGGACTTTCTATTGAGCTCCCAAGTACTTTAATGTGTAGAGGGACACTTCACCTTCAAAACAAGCCTTTAATCTCCAATTTCCATCTAGCCAATTGTAAGATATTAATCTCCAAAATACGCACCATGAAACTATGTTTACACTAAAACAACAAATTAGGTCGACCTGATTCTATATGAGGTCGACCGAAAAGTGCATGTCACCGTAGCAAAGTCCTAACATTTATTTCAAAATTAAAAGTATCGCATCCTGATATATTTTTCCACCTCAAATGTAGTGTTGGTGTCATCAGACTAAGGTAATGAGTTGGGGGGGTTGTGAATTCGGTTTCACCCAATTTTTCGGTCAGATCTGTTCAATGTTTTGCAGCATCCTTATGACTGATAATTAGATTGGGTAAGCGAAAATTTAATTTTCAGTTGCGATCAGACTGGTTTAAACAGTCCAATTTTGGCTTTGATCGGAAAAACGCCGCTTCCAGAGCGATATATATGTACACAACTAATAAATCAAGTTTATCCATGGATTCTGACTATACAAATAACGCCGGCGGTCCACTTGTACCGCTTATCTTCCTTCCCGTCAAAAACACATCTCGCTATCGTCCTTATTAATTATTACTTTGTGTTTTTAGCTTGATAATCAAATGATAATAATGATACAAAAATGGAATGCGTGCGTCGACATCACTTGGCCGGTAGATTTCACCAAGAAAATTGTTTGTTCCCTCTTCTAACTAAAATAAAAATATGTTCACGTCCCCCACAAATGATAAAAATGTCAAAAAAAAAAAAAATCTAGTGGACTATGCCGAGGTTTTGTCGCCAACATCAAGATTGTCTTCGTCAAATCTCATGAGAGGTTGTACTGGAAAAGTCAGTGATAGTATATTTTATACTGAAATCGTGGTTCAACCATTTTAAACCGCTAAATATCGCTTACCAATTTATGCTATGATATGCAATTTTTCTAGTCAACCTCCAGTATGATACAATTTTTCAATCATAAGATCTAATATTGGTTTTCACTTATTTTTGGGTTGTTCGAAATAAAGTCAAATCGTACTCATCGACACATTAATTAATCTATCCTCCTAGAATAATATCTCTCTCTGACAAATCCGTCTGATGATTTGAAGAAAACACCCATATTTGTCAATTGTGTATGGTCATCGAAGTTATTCCCCTAATAACAAGCGTTCGTCTCCTTGCATTTGATCCAACTTTGGCAATCGCTTTTGTTGCGCTTCTCTGATATTAACGTGAATGAACTCCATTATACTATACAAAAAGTTATTTAATAAATTCTCACACATGGATGACAATTGACAATGACAACCACCAGCAAAACAAGATAATACTATTTTTATTTATAAAAAGAATATACCAAATTTAAAACTATATCTTTGTTGTAATTTATGTTATTGTAAGTGCTAATATAGGGGTTTTATTTATTCAAACCAATTATCTATATATATATTTGCATTTTTTATCTACGAAAAAAGCTTTAACTGATTTGCTAGCTAGTTTGATATAGTTTCATGATTTAATCTACATGAATATAGAACATAGAACATGGATATCGAAAACCAATTATCTTTATTTGCATTTTCTATTTATTATGAATTTTTCCTTGAAATGTATAAAAATTATATTATTTGTAGATCACTACAAACTTGGTTCTCCATTGTGCAACAATTTTGAAAATTGGGTTAAAACATATAGACAATAAACAAGTCAATGGAGAAAATCAAAGAATTGTAATCGCTCTCTTTACATCTTACTTACTAGCCCAATATTTGATATTGCTCAAACCCACTTGGGTAAATCAGGTTTGAGTACATTTTTTTTGGACCAGACTTATACTTTTTTTTTTAGTTTGGTCCAAATTGAACCTATAGTATTGGGTACTAAAAAAATAGATATCTTATTCAAATGCAATTTATGTCTTTTTTTTGTTATGAAACAAATACAAATGCAATTTATGTCTTTTTTTGTTATGAAACAAATACAAAGACGAAACATCATCATTGAAGGTATAATTGGGCTGAAAACAGTTAATGAGATGGTCGATAATATTTTTTTTTATATAATTACCTGGGCCCAAATAGAGCCATTTGGATCGGATCCAAACTGAGTTGATACAAATTGGATTCATTTCAACCCAAACACAAACTCAAGCACATTAAAAGTGCATATGTACCTATTCGAATCCGACCCAATATCCATACGATCATGACAATCAGATTAAATTACCCAATGAGTCCACCCATTGTCATTCTTACTTAAACCTTACCCTACTCAAAATCAAGTGATCAAATATGATTATGCACAAATGCATTCATCAAAATTTGTATTACCCTACTCGAATTTAATGATTTCTGAACTCTAAAAAACTTTTTTTATTTTATTTTGTGGGGATACTTATCCTTTCGGTGAATGCTGGAGGACACAAAAGGACACATATCCATTAGGGTAAAGAGGTAGTTGAAGGGTGAAGGGATAGTCACGTGAAGCGTGGACCAGAGAATTCAACAAAGCAAAGCCTTAAAGGGTGAAGGGATAGTTTGCCAATTTGCCAAATCTAGTTTGGTTCGGACACTTGGCCCTTACCAATTAAGCCCTACCCTACACGACAAAAGGCCACTACCCTACAAAAAAAAATCCATTTTTTCTTCACAAAGTAAACTCCTCTGACCTCCCACTTGCCTTCCACTGTCGACATTCGATAATTTCTTTCTCCTTGGCAAAAATGCGAAACCGGCCCCCGGACTTGGGATGTATCGCTAGATTGGTCCTTGATTCTGTCAAAGTAGTTGTCTTATTGATTGTTCCTCATCTCTAGGCCAATTTAATTAGAGGGCTGTATTAATTAATTAATTAATTAATTGGTAGACTGATCACTATGGTTTACTTGATTCGAGACCTTGTCCACGACTAGTCCACAGTTAAGTACTAAAAAACTATGTCAATATCCATCAACATGCCATTGTATAAAAAGAAATTACAAACAACCATGTCGGCCTGCCATTATTATTAATTAATTAGGTACAATAAAACATTGGGCCCATATATCATCCATGATCCAACAAAAGCCAAAGGGGGAAAAGAGGAGAAAAATGTAAAATATATGTTGCGGATATGTATCTTGAGCACCCGAATTATGTAACAAGATATAGTTTTTAAAAATAGATTTAGATTCACGAAGACAAGAATTGGCAGAGTTTGGTGTTTTAGAATTGAGAATTAGGGTTCTTGGAAGAGACTAAAGATAAGAGAGATTATTCATCAACAACAACAACAAGACACTCAATTGTCATGTGGTCGTTGGACGGATGTATGTAGCACAAAATTGTCACCGCATTCATCCAACAACAACAAGGCACTCAACGTCTATTCCAACAACTCCCAACCTCTGTATGCACGTTCTCGCATATTGTACTGCGTGCACAATAACTGGATTGCTCCCGATGCATATCAATTTCAAACTCGTAATTGTTGGAGCTCTATAATACAAGTGCACATAATCAAGAGTAATGTGGGCATGCATGGTCCAATCTTCAATGGCTATAGAGTTAAGAGCTAAACAATATTTATCAACTCTTTCACTCTTGAGTTACATATGCCTACACCTGTCCCTTTCCCCGTCTTATAATAGCAATGCTACCCCCCTTTTCTAAGAGCAATAATAACAACAAAATGTACAAACCCTATAACTTGGTACGTACATAGATGGAGCCAAATTATGAAGGACAGAAGGACCAAATTGGCGCTAAGCTGTGAAATTAGATTGATCAACCAAAAGGCCACAAGAGAGTACTGATTTGGAGTCTCATTTCCCACTTATGGTATTGTTACTGTCAATTCAATAAAGTTGGTGTACTAGTTCTGAGCAAAACAGTTCCATCAGACACTCTGTATTTTTTTTTAATTTTTTTTTTTTGGTCCTCTTTCTTTCTTTCTCCGGGCTGCTCAACGGTTGTCGCCGAGGGAGAGTGGGACGGCTGTACGGACGATCGCCAAACCGTGTGTCCTTCTCCTTCCCTTTCCTTGTCAGTCGTCGTGGCCTGGCCCCGTCTTTTTTTTTTTGACCGTATTATCAGACGGGGATTACGTGTCCCCTATTTTGTCGTTATCCTCCGTCGACTCTCTACCAGAGAGGACCAGGTGCAGAGTCCTCCTCCTCAACAGTCACAGAGCTCTCTATCTCTGTGGTTCCGCCAAGTGGAAGGAAGAGAGAAGACAACTCTGCCACCGTCCGTCCGTCCGTCCGTCCAGCACCGTCATCTTTATCTCGACTTCTCCGTTGTTTATTTATAAGGTTAAAATGCGATTCTTGTAGCTAAGTTGCCATACAACTTTAGGTTCCTCTTAAAGATAATGTTTCGTAGAACTACACATGACATGAGGAGGCATTTTTAAGGATTCCAAGAGTGTCTTGTAACAAAAGATCGTCTCATGCATGCATTGCATTGATGGTGTGGATATCAAGACATATTCCAAGAACGTTGATTGTTTTAGTGTTTAGACAATCTCTTAACTTTAAACCAATGTTGTCAGAACCGAACCGGAGCATGACCCGGTAATGCGAACGGTTTGCACTTTACCGGTCCAACCGGCATTAGACTGTTTAAAAACCGTTAGAGAACCAGTATCTAATAAATGTTATCAGTATAAATAGTGGACATTTCTTAATCAGAGCTCATCTCTTTCTTTCGAAATTGTGAAATGGAAATAAGGATTCAATTTGAGAGCCCGACATTTTTGGTTTATTTCAATTTTCTACAATTTTTTTAATTAAATTTAGTGGCTGAATGGCAAAAACCGGACGAGCGGCTCGATCGGCTCGAACGGTTAACCGCCTCGGCCGCTCGCCAACCGCTACATAAAAATGGAGCGGCTTTTAGACTGTTCCGAGCCAGTTTTGTGACCGGGTGACGGTTTTACCCCGGACCGAGCGGCTCGGCTCGGCTTTAATAACACTGTTTTAAACCAAAGAAAACTATCCATGTGATTTTTCTTCTTTTAGTAAACACTAAACATGCACATAATATATAAGTTCATGCACACTAATCACCAAAGCATCCCCGAAGTCTAGAATTAGTATCATTAATTGGCGAGTAGACTTAAGGGGTTTACTATCCTACTTGCGAGTTCACAGTAAGCTTTGTGGACCCGTTTATTCCCTTAAACCGCCCCTTCAGTTCCCACTATCTTCCCCGCGACGATTTTCTAGCGATTGGCCAAGTTGGCGGGTCACCATGCGTAGCAATCCTGTTTCTTCCCCCTTCTTCCCTCCGACGATTCACTGGCGATTGGCCAAGCTGGATCCTCTCGCCGAATTTTCTATAGTCGCTACTCCTCCCAGCTTCTAATTGGAGAGTTCACCGTAAATCCCCTGCGAATAACTCTTGGCCTAGCCGCCGATCCTCACCAATCGTTCATCTAACCTACATGTTTATGTTTAAAGTGAAAACATGACACCTGTTCACCTCTATTGGCCTCATGATCTCCTTCACTTGATCATCGAGAATCATGTTATAAAATTATTCTCTTGCTTGATCTTTTTGTTGTTTAAGTTTTTATTTTCATTAAATTTTGAGGTTTTATCATTTGATTTGTTAGAATCCATCATATACCTAACACATTCTTATAGATCCACTCATTTCAATTATTTTGTTAAGTTATGTTTGGTATTTTTGGATGTTAGTAAGAAAGCATGCATAACATAAAATTCACAAAGTGAATACAATGTATGATGTTACAATGTTTGATGCGGATGGGTCATGTATTCCCATACATAGTCATAATCAAATATTCTTCATTTTGGTGGAAGAGGTCATTATTTTTCAGTGTACTATAATGCATAGGAAACTATATGTGAAACTGTGAGCTATTCAATTTGAATATAGCCCTATTTCAAAATATACTCTATTTTAAATCTCAAGGGTTGAACCATTATTGTGGTCTGATAACAATTTTATTGTGTAAGATGAAAATATTCATCGCACATGTTGTAAAAATTCTTTTATTCTTCATCGCAAAATTATTTTCTTGCCTCTTCACAAGATTAGAGAATATCACACTCAATTATCATACATTCAATTAATCAATTCAATATAATTGTAAATCCAACTACTTACTCTGAAATCATATACGAGTCCATGAAGACTAAAGAGATTAAAAAGTTGACTATGGTCCTATTCGCATCCATTTCAAGTTAATATATGATTCCTTTTCGACCACAAAAGACATTCACCTTGATTTAAAATTATTACTTTCCACTGTTAATTAGTCAATTTATTTTTGAGAACCCGCAGCAAAGCGCGGGCCAATTTTCTAGTTGGTATTATTAAACATACCGGCCAGTTAATAACGGATCGCATGCGAAGTAGTAGAGTTAAGAACTAGTTGGTCTCAACATTCGGGTTGTTGTGAGAGATTCAATATTAAATTTTATGCCACGTACCAACAAACCCCTTAAACGAAAATTACTCATATATAGGATTGAAGTTTACACAGGTATCAGACATCATATGCATATCTGTGGAGGCGGTGGCCGTGAGCCACATTAGAAGTTTTTTTTTTGGGGGGGGGGGGGGGGGGGGGGGGGGGTTCTATGGACCGCACTTGAAAGTTGTATGAGTTATTTAGTTAGATAATTGTTCATTTCGCACCCTGACTCGTCAATTTCAGATAAACTCTCATGAACATTTTTCCATTGTTGAACCTACTTTAGAATTTGATTGGAGAACAAATATGTGTGATATTATTTGGTAAATTTTTGTATTTTAAATCCTAAATTTGATGAAAATTACACGTTAATTATTCTTACCATTCATGTACGATGACAAATCCATATTAACGATTTTCTGGCTACACCGATGAGTGGGGCCACCGAGATTCACATAAGACCTTTCGGTGACAAAAAAAAACTATGATATCAAATAAAAAACTAAATCCAATTAATCTTAATGACTCGACTTACTGAATAAATATTCGATAAATAGATCTTGTACACCATATACTAACATTACTTACCATCCCGTTCCATCTAACTCTCACCTGCCATATTCACGAGCCCCCAAGTCGTCGAGTGCTATATATGTATCTTCGGAATCTCTGTTGAAAATAGTATTTGATTAGTTGTACAATAATATGTAATTAATTATAGGGTTTATATGTCTTCCATAATCGTGCCGTTGTCAAACTGTACCTTCCAAATCTAGCCAGCTGGATGTATCTACGTGGAAAGCAGCAATAATAGCGTATGTTTAGGGATTAGAGGTACTCATGCGTGCACATGCAGTTGATATAATTGGTATTCTTGCAGAGAGATAGAGAAGCTAAATATCGATGCTGATTGAAAGACAAATAATAATTGGTATTATTATACTTCATCACTACTACCATTCATGGGTGATTTTGGACGAGAGAATTGAAAATTTTGAGGATTTGTGGACACAACATGAGCATTGAAGATGTGCGGCCATTTGATTTCGCACGTTTTACCATTTTACACAAAATACGAGAAATTTGAAATCCACATTTTGTTATTAATGTCGGATATAGTTAACCTCGATTGATTTTTGTTAACGAACGATAATGGAATTACATATGCAGTGGCAATTGCGGTAACAAGAAGTAGTTTAATACCAAAATCGCATCACTGGCGGATCCAGGGGTTGCCACCACAGGTCCCGGTCTAGCCCTCCTCTGAATCCGTAGTTACTATAGTTCTTATGAAATTTTTGATTTTAGACATTCAATCCAGTGTTATTCTATGATAAGATTGGATTTAACTAGAAAAATTATCAAGTTGAACATATTCAAATCACTATTCTAAATTTAGCCTAGAAATTTTAGCCCCAAAGATTATGCGTCTTAAAAAAAACAATGAAACCTAAAATTCTAAAAAGTTAAAAATGTAAAAGACTAAAAGAAATATGAGGTTTGTTCACTTACAAATTTACTAAAGCAGCTGGTGTGCAGGGATAGACACACAATGTAAATTGATAAAGTCGATTGATTTATCTAGTGCTGATGCTGCTCGTTTCAACAGCTACTATGAAGAGAACCTTTTTAACAATGAAACATGTGAGAACTGATTTGCTCAACAAAATGAGCAATGAATTTCTCGCCGATTGCTCAAGTATTTTATTTGAAACAGTGTATACTATGGTATGGATGTAGAATTCATTATTGATGCATTTCCTAAATTAAAATACAGTTGTGTACAATTTACATGGCAAAAAACTATAATCATTATATTTTTTTTACTGTTCTAATTTTCTAATGAAATGCGGCCCAATCCTCTTCTAGGTTCTGGATCCGGCGCTGAATCGTATACACCATGGTTGTCATGCCGGCCGGCGTGCCACCGGTTGTACCGGGTTCAACCGGTACCGGTCATAAAACCGGCGTGACACCACCGGTATGACCGGCATGATCGATATACGAATCTCTAAGTAAAATGATCTTATTTTAGAGAATTTAATTGATAAAAAATATTTTATTATTTATTTTATGAGTATAAAAGTTAAATATTGATGTTATTTGTTGGATTCAAATATAAATGTTTAGGTATTGACGTTAAATGTCATGTTTAAATATGAGTATTTATAATTTTATTTGTAATATTGACCGGCATGAACCGGCACAAACCGGTATGTGCCACCGGTTGAACCATTCCACTTGCTAAACCGGCATACTGGCATAAACCGGTTTGACAACCTTGGTATACACCTTGTAGATGACGATACCGAGTGCCAAAAAATTGTGCAGTGTTTGTTTGTTTGTTTATTCGTGGATAGGGATATAATTAGGTCCGTCCGGCCAAGGGACCTTTCCCGACAAGATTACCCATCTCTATGAATCTTAGGCTTAGCTAGCTCAATATATATAGGCACAGGGAGCGTGCGTAGCTACACTATATGGCCTAACTTTCAATAAATTAAAAACACTACAGTTGCTAGTTTGAAGAAATTCCACCATGAATTGAATTCCATGAAGAATAGGTGATGCATGGTGCGATGCAGAAGATAATATTGATTTGTGGGAGACATTGATGAATGGATCTCAATTACTCTTTTAGTATGTTCTAAGGTATACTCATTAGATTGGAATTTGTACACGTCCGCTGTATCAAAGTTCATGAGTATGCGACCTCGCGCGATTGTCAAAAAAAATTATGCGGAAAGAGTCAAAATTGAAGGCGTGATTAACCACTCTTGTTAGAGTGTTATTTGCTACCATTACGGAATTAACGGTAGGATGAAGAAGATGATGAACGTTAGAACAAAATTCTGGTTACAATTGACTTTTATTGCGAAAAAACAGTAATTACTTACGAAAGGTTACCTCATCTCACAGAAGTAAAAAAAAAGCTTCCTATTCGGTGGAATGGTCATGTCATATATCATATTTTAAATAATTAGAATTTCATTTGTAAATAAGATTAGTCACATGATTCTCAAACAAGTCCATTTTATTCGATTGTTTTCTTGGATAAATTCCCAAATATAATAGTTCTTATAACCCTGCAATAGACATAATTTCGATCGTCGGGTGTGCCTACCAGGTTGTTTCCAAATCACATGGGACGATGCTTTATTTTCACGATTAAATACTTCGCATCCCTTAGGTCAGGTTGGATATACAACCTATGATCGTAAATCGTGAAAATACAAAAGGTTCAGATACAAAAAAAAAAGGTTTACAAGGTCGGGCTTAACCGCAACTATGGAGCATACTAGGAATTCCTTGATTTGGAGTATTTAGGGAAAAATTACCAATATTCCAAAAATAAACGGTGATTCAATCATGGTTAAACTACAAAGATATTATTGGTCTTATAGCATCCCACCAATGATTCAAGCTGATAGATTGCAAAAATATCAAATATAGACAAATTTAGAGATCAAATAAATCAAAGAATGAAAAAAAAGTAGGTACCCTAAGAGCCTCTTCGGCCATTTTTGGCGGAAGTCAGACAGAGGTTCGACCAGGTTTTTAGAGTGACTGGGTTGTATCACAACTCAAGGAAACTTTTTTGGTGTGGCATGTAGGGTTTAGCCGCAATCACAAAGCATACTAAGAATTCTTTAAGTAGTGAAAGAGAGTGAGGAAGAAAGTTGTGGTTGTGTGAATGAATGAGGGGAGAGAGTGGGTATTTATAGGGCATAGGGTCGCCTTGGGTGGGTGGAACGGTACAATCGTGACCATCGAAAGCTATCAATGGCTAATCGCATGATACGAAAGCGATCTGTCCTTCCCCAACACTTCTTTGTGTTCCACTTCAGCAATCCCAGTTACTGCCTTCCAACCGATAGTGTCGCATGGAAGCGATTAACGTGGATTGTGTCCTCGTGACGTGATCAGACTGTCGATCCCTTGCCACTCCAGCGAATCACGTCGATCGTGGTTCCCAAAGACAATCGAATCTAAATCGCTTTTCTCGTCAACGGTGAATGTATATATCATTTTTGCTTAAAGCCATTTTGTGCGAACATGTGTAGTTTAAGTTTTGGGTAATGTCTATTTTTTATCCAAACATTTTTCAGATTCTTTTATAGTATCCAAACCTATCGAAATACTAAGAATTAACCAAATGTTAATTGTCAGTTAGCAATTTTGTTAGTAATATGGATTTGGCAATATGATACTGACTTGAAAGAGACACATGAAGGTCAACATTTCAAATTTTAGTATTTTAACTAAGAAAAATGTTACAAAATTACTAACGACAATGAAAGATTTGGCTAATTAATAGCATTTTAATAAATTTGGATAGTACAAAAGAATCTGAAAAGGATTTGTATAAAAAATAAACATTACCCTTAATTTTTTTTATAAAAACGGTGTTATATATATATATATATATATGGTGACTACTTCGGTGCACTCACAAAAATGAGTGCGTTCAATACACCCAGCACAAAAACTAGTCTTAAGGTGTCGGATTTTGAATATTAATTTGTAGAATTAGTATAATATGATGATATAACATATGATAACAACTAATTAACGGATTACCTTAAGTCCTAGACCTCCAATTTTGAGTTCTATCCCTAAACCCCAAATTGTAAACCCTAACACTAACACTAAATCTTTAAACTCTGAATCCTTTAAATTAAAGTAAATCTTTAATGATTTTTGTGCAAATTCATGTGCGTTATTGTTCATCACATCACAAGTAATGATTGGCATCATTTTGACATAAATCGCATGTTTAAAATGACTGTTATGAAGCGAGTGCACTGAATGCACCCAAAAAAGTTAGTGCACTGAAGACGCCACTATATATATATATATATATTATTTTAAAAACTAGTGTACTTAAAGACAAAAAAATCCATTTTTTCCTATTAATGGAGGGTCCATGTCTAGCAGGGATGGGATTAGGTGCTAACCCTTATAAAATAACGAGAAAAAATCGCTACTAAAAATAACGAAATCACTACGGATTATTATAAAATCAATACAACATCCAAACTAAATCACTACTAATTCAAACTAGTAGTAGTTTTTCCCTTGGTTAGGACGGTGCTAACTATTGTACAATTAGCACAGTAGTCGTTCCCTGTCTAGCATCACTATCATCATATTAGGTGTAATAATTTCAAGAGCATAAAATAATCTCTTTTCTTTCCTCTTTTCAGAATCCTCCAAACTTATCCCCATGGTGGAGGGCCGATGCTTTCTTTGAGAAAATTGACTTGGATTGAAAATGACGGCAACTGATGAAGATACATGTAAACGGGTAACCCATTTCGTTCTATTTCCTTTCTCCCTTTTGTCAACACCAATCCAATCAAGTCTGTGAAACCCAATGGGTGATTTGAGAATTACCCACTTATGAGAGTACTGGGGCTGTCAACATTTCATGGATTTTGGAAGATCTATGTATAGGGATTTTTGGTTGGGACTTGAGAGTGAAAGATCACAAGTAGACTTTCTTTGCAAAGGGGAAATAACAAACATAACAGTAATTAATTCATAGCCTCTTCTTTTTTTTTGTTGTATAAAAAAGAAAATCACAGTTGTCTCATTTTAGTCCCTTTGGTTTTTGGAACAATTTGGGGTTTTTTTTCAGTAATAACCAACTTTTATTCCACTAATTGAAAGAAACAGGAAATCCGGTTACAATTCTATAGAAGATTAGAAATGAGGTCAAGAATATTGATCCAATCATCTGGTAACGATGCTCTCGCTTTTGATCGTACGACCCAGTCAGCTCTGACGTTGATTGCCCTGGGCACTTCCTTGATTCGAATGAGAGGGTTTGTTCTAAGGATAGAGACAATCGAACTGATCCATGCTGCACACCTCCATGGCCATCGAGATTGATCATGATTCAACGCTATAACCAGAACCTGACAATCTTATTGGACTGTACATTCGGACCCATATTCTTGAGCTAATTTCACTCCTTCCAGAAGGGCCTTAGTTTCTGCTTCAATCGGGGTGGAACAAAGAAGATTCTCAACTCGCCCATCACACACTTGTCCATGGTGTATAACAACCACAACACCATATGCCGATGGCTGGGAGTCGTTAATGAACGACCCATCATAGTGAATCACCAAAGAATGATTACTTGGCGGTGGATTCGTATGAGACTGGGTTCCCCTAAGCTGAGAGGGAAGGGAAGGCATGGGAGGTGGGGACCTCGGACAGGAACTCCATTCAGTAAGCTCTTTATAGGTTTGTTGGCACACGTTCGGAGGCCATGGTAATCTGTTCTTGAAGGAGCATTCGTTCCTAGCCTTCCAAGTATTCCAACAAAGGAACACAACATGGATCAAGGAGCTATGATGAACAACATCTTTGAGAGAATAGACCAATCAAGGAAAAGGGTTCCATGAGGAGGTAGCAGGAGGGAAGGGAAAAGAGCATTCCATGCAACATTGGCATGAGGGCAATGGAACAGGCAATGACTGATGGACTCAATGGGGTTTTGGCACACTTGACAGGTCGAATTAGGAGCACATTTCCGCTGAAGAAGTCTCTCTTTCGTTGCTAACCCATTCCTAGAGCACCTCCAAATAAAGAATTTCAGTTTCGGGGGGAGGTGAAGGCTCCAGATCCACTTCCATTTTTCATCATTCCCGCTTGGTTGGGGATTGGTTGTGGAAGAACATGTATGTGTTTACATTAAATATTGAATATGTTGAGGAAAAATATTATATACAAAATTCTCCGTTCATTATCCGCAATATATATGGATTCTAATTTTACCTATGCTTGCTAAAGATAATTTAGATTTAAATTTTACTCTATCCAATTTGATCAGATGAGTGAGGGTATTTTTGTCATCATAATTCCCTAATTTCAAAGTCCAAGGTCCATAGCATGGATAACCCAGCTAGCTAGAACCTCGGGTCCATTTTCAATGGCCTGTAATTGTAAAGACGCAGCTAGGTGTATCCAACTTTTTTCAATGTGTTGGTTGGGTCCAAAGGTACCAACTTAGCCCTCACTCCTACTATACATTCTTCTTGCAGTATATCTAGAAGTCCATCATGGACTCATAATGCCAAATGAGGGGCATAGAACTTGTTTGCTTATTGGATTTGAGTTATAAATTTGTGTTTCAAATCTCAAATCTCAAACATTATGAATTTGTTTAGAAATTTCAAGTTTTTCTTGTTTATTTGATGGATGTCTAATCTGTGGGTCCACGGATTTGAGCTATTTTTTATTCAAATATGTGGGCTAAATTATACGTTTGATCAATCAAATTTATTATATAAATCTTTCACGTTTGCCACCCAAATTACTTTTCTTTCTTGTTCGTCAGTAACTTTACGAATTGTTTCAGCTTTAGTCACCGACAATTTGGTAATGGGCTCAAATCGTCTTATTTGGCAACACAAAATATGGATGCAACAACAATTAGGCTGAGACAATTTGAATTGTCTTGTTTTACATCAATTCGAAACTTTGAATTGAGAATGGAGTAAGTATTTTGAAATATTGCATCAACTATGAAATGAGACAATTTTTTAGACAAATTGGGTCAAATTACCTCATTTCACAAATCCATCATTCAAACTTATAACCCTAAAATCTTCACTATTCCAGTTAAGCTCTTTTGAGTTTTGACCCGTTCAGAGGATGATAGGTACAAACGTTAGCGTTATGCCGTTATCCATCGACTTAAACACAGTAAAAATCAATCATTCAAACTAACCCTATAATCTTCACTATTACGGTTAAGCTCTTTTGAGTTTTGACCCGTTCAAAGGATGATAGGTACAAATCGTTAGGGTTATGCCATTTTTCATTGACTTATACACAGTAAAAAACCCATCATTCAAACTAACCCTATAATCTTCACTATTACAGTTAACCTCTTTTGAGTTTCGGGCTGTTCAAAGGACGATAGTTACAAATCGTAATCGTTATTGCTGTTATCCATTGACTTAATCACAGTATAAAAAAATCAATGAGTGTCACCTTCGAACGTACGCATGGATTTGGCCTTTATTAGAGAGAATATTAGCTTAGCATTAGCTGGGTATTTGGTGGCCCTCAAGGCAACTGTTGAAACGTTGAAGCTCCAAAGAACTAACGGCGATCGTACATTGATTAAAGAAAGAAGATCGTCGATGGGATATGTTATTGAATTCTTTCTATGACGACGACTAAACGAGAGCAAACTAGTTTAAAGATCGAGGAAAACGATCCCAGGGTATATCTCCACCGTCGATCGTTGCCGCCTGAATTGCCCCATAATGCACGCAAGGAGAGATATTAATTAACCTAGCTAGCTAGATATGCCAAAAAGAATCCCACAGCTAATTCACTCAGAACTTTACAGAGTAATAAACACAATCTACTTTTGTTTTTTTATCGTGTTCTAGCCAGTTTTGTGTAGGGTTTAGTGTTAGAGGAATAACTGTGTATTCGAGTTGCTGGGAGATATTCAATTGTGAATAATATATTATTGACTAACACACCCAGGTTCGAACAATCGTGTGCTTATTAGAACATATGTGAGTAATCAGGATTCGAACATAAGACATTTTGGTCAAATCGGGCTCTGGTACCATGTCAAGAGCATGTTGATCCCAATAACTCGAGTTGTTGGGTGAAGTTCAATTGTGAATCATATATCGTTTACTAACATGAAGGAGGAGAGAAAGTGTAAGGATCGTGATGGGGAGAATCTGGCGAAATGGATTGGATTAAGGAAGAAGAACAAGAAGATACAGGGAAAGGAAAGACGAGTTTTATTGAGCTATTTGGTATAGAATTGGTAAAGTAGTTACAACTGGTTGATTTGTCAAAAGATGCCCAATCGTAAAACGTCTCTCCTATTTATACTTGTGTCTTTCTGTACACATCACTTGTCCAACTGTCACACAATTTGTTACAGAAAGAGATTGGATCGAGTTGGGATGAAGAAAACGAGCATACGAATTTCTCTGTTCAAGATGAACGAGACTAGTACATGAAGTGACAGAGCTCTTGAGATTGTATTATATATTATGATATTTTCTGCGTTGGGCGAAGCTCTTAAGCTATACAAGATCTATAGAGCCTAACGTAGTAATTAGGAGAAAGAGCAAAATAACAAAATGGTTCTCAAACTTGTAATATGCAACAAGGGAAGAACGAAGAGTTTATTGATAGAATTACAGATTCGAAAGACATGAGACATGAAGAAATGAGAGATTCGTGAAAAGGGGTTTAGGATTATTGTTATTCCGTAATAACGGTTGAATATATGAAATTACGATTATGTGACTTCAACATATGAATCCAAATGACCTAACATGGCAAATAGCTAAAAATATCTCTATACTATTGTGGTTCTATAACAATTAGGAGAATATATATACAAGTTAAGCTACAAGCCTACAACCCAAAAAAGTGGGTTTTGAGTGGAAGTAGCTTTCAAAGCTTATCTTTAGCTTCTAATTAACACAAAGAATTCAACAAAAATTCAAATCCTGTCTTTAGATTAGATTGATTGATGTTGATGTTCACATAAGCATGCATATAATGATGAGCTCCTGTGCCTACTTTGGGATCACAATGATGATTTATTATGCATTAATCAATTATATTATAATGTGATTCACAACATTCAACTATAAAGGAAGGTAAGGTTAATTTAACATGATATGCGATTTGGCGCTCAAATTTTAATATTTGCCTATTATTTATAGGAAAAGACGATAATTGTTAATATTATTATAAGCTCATATCACCCAGACGTTTCCAAAAAATTAATGGATTTGTATAATTGTGAACATATACACCAATATCTATATTCACCGTCGATAATACCGTTCCATTTATTTATCATTCCTTCACAGTGGAAACATAGTCTTTTTTCTAGCTCCAACCTTAAACTGCAAAAGAGGGGGACATCTCATTGGATGGCAACAAAATCCAAACCCACGGGTACCCACCCGACCCAATCTGGTCAACGCGGGTAAAATCCGTGTTGACGGGTTTTGGGCCGGGTTTGGGTTTAAACCCGTTCACTATTCACCGGGTTGGGTGGGTTTGGGTTTAGGTAAACCCGACCCATGGGTACCCACCCACACTCATATAGTTAATTTTCTCGTATATCTAATATTCTAAACAACTAATCTTAGTTTGTAGAGACATGTCTAATTTTTTTTTTCCTAATTTTGTAGAATGAAGTTGATGTCATCGAGTGGAGAGTGAAGAAACTTAATTGAAAGGAAGAAGCTTTCAATTAATCATGTTATTTATGGATCATTTGTGATTTGCTTCAATTTTATTGAGTTTTCTAGATTGGTGTTGAACAATTTGTATAGTTAATTTGTGATTTGCTTGAATTTTCTATAATGGTGTTTTATATATGGATAATTTGTATTGAGAGATTGATATTTGACTTTAATTTTGATAGAAATTTGTTATTGTAAATTTTTTACGACAAAAACCCGTGGGTACCCATAAACCCACGGATACCCAGCGGGTTGGGTTGGGTTTGAGTTTTTCAAATCCAATGGGTTTTACCCCGGATTTTTTTCACGAATAAACCCATGGATTTGGGTTTATGTTTGGCAAAACCCGACCCAACCCGACCCATTGCCATCCCTTATTCTCATCTTTGTTTAGACTTTAGAGCCGTTATTGTACAATTCAAATCACTTCTCATTTATCTGTTATTCCTTCGGAATGTGTAAATATACACATAAAATTATTTCTACCTTCAACCCTTTAAAGCAAAAGAGGGGACACAAGTGTACGAAATGGTGATCATTATTCAACATTGGCAATGATTCCTCGTTGCTTTCCACTTTCAGCAAGGAAGGTTGCCCCAGTCAAAATAGGAATTATTTTTGGATATACAGGATTTTGGGAATAGCTTACCTTCCCTTCTCAGCAATCCACGTACATTTTGAAATTGTGTCTATGATAAAAGTTGTAGTCCTTAAAAAGTTATGCGAAATAAAAAAAAATTCATGTTGTTTGGATATTGGAGCACAAAGTTATGGTTGTCCAAAGTTTGACGAAATCGGAAAAAAGCTCGTTCGGGGTAGCAAACGACATTTTTTGGGATGAAGGCGGGACCAAACCACCTTTGGCTTGCAAGATCTCAAAAAGTTATGCGGAATCAAAAAAAATTTGCGACGATAGGATACCCGAACACAAAGATACGTCCGTTTGAAGTTTCCACCTAGGTTAGGATTTTTCAAAAAAAAAAAAAAAACAGATCGCACCCTGTGGGTGCGATCTGCAACCAAATAGCACCCTGGGGGTGCGATCTGCAACCAAATCGCATGGTGGGGGTGCGGTTTTCATCGAAAAATGCGCCCTTGGGTGGCTGTTTTCGCCTAAACCGCACTGGTAAGGAGCGGTTTTTGGAAAAGAGTGCTATTTTTGGAATTTTTCGGACTTAGGTGCTATTTTAGGATTTTTTTTTAAAAACAGTGCTATTTCTGGAAAAATCCCCTTTTTACTTGTCTAGGATATGCTCCAAAACAAACCAAGATTTTGATAGATTAATTGTTGCTACTCGATTCCCAAATCTAATTAAGTAAATGAAGAATATCGGGGTCGTTTGGAAGTTGCGATTGTTTTGTTGAGATTGTCATTATGCATATATTGTTTACAATGTATCGTTTTTTTGTTTTTTAAGCAGAAACAATACATGGATTGTTTCTGTGATGTGACAGAAACTATCACTCATTTTGAGTGATTGTTATATCTCAACTTTTAGTTGTGATTGTTGAGATAGTTGAGTTGAGATTGTTTTGTCTCAGCTTTTAGCTGATGCGACATACACAATCACACATACCAAACGTTGTATTCTATAATGCATCAAATTCGACAATACATGTATAATATTATACATGCATTCTCAACAATACATCTATTTAACAATCCCAACTTCCAAACGACCCCAACGATTTTTGTAAAGATTACGAAAGCGTTCTTCTCCTGCATGAATTTCCGGATTTTTTAAATGAAAGATTTTATAAGAAAAACGAAACAAGCTATTGATCAACAAATATGTTTTCCCAGCGAGAAAACTTGTGTGAACAGAATTGAATTTGTACCTTGACTTCTTGAAGAACGATAAAATAAATACAGTTCACACCTCTTTGAATAAAATCTAAACAAGACTGTTCAATGTTTTGATGAACTACGAGTCAGATCTACATTAAATTAGACATAGTTCTATGGAGGTTTATTGAGAGCACCAAAACTATAACCGTAACATTCTCGTCCATCATATACTTAATACATGTCATACTTGCATTTAAGTGATGTCGCTCCAATTATTAGATGGTGGGTTCTATAATTCCGATGTTATTGTTAATTGGGTTTTGACTTAACTAATCCTAAGTCTAAGGAATTGTAAAAACAAAATAAAAGTTTGGGGTCTTAATGGTAAATGGATGAAAGTTTGAGGGTTAAGTGATAGTCTCAAATTTGATTGGACCACATGTGGGAAGGGGGTTGTGGGGGTATAATCCAAAGGTTGAAACATATTTGATCAAGTACTCGAGTATATATATTATTATGATGTAAGGTGTAATCGACTTGGCACATGTGTCTAAACTTGAGATTGTCATGACTTAGGGGATCAATAAATGTCTATGACTATATGTATGTGCGCGATTATGTGATAAATGATGACTGCGAATGCGAATGATAAATTTAATGTGTATGCGATATGAATGGATGGCCCAAAAGGTAATGTTACTATCCTGGAAAGCCTAGGAGACAATGAGGGGATAATGCATAGCCTGAATCGCTATATGATGATACTGGAAGAGCCTACTTGGCAATACTAAGATACTGAAAAGCCTGTAAGTCGCTAATGTGCTTATATGAAATGGTGAATGTGACTTTGTGAATGTTATGATTACGTGAGTGGATATGTTAAATAATTGATGATACTGTTTGATAATTGTGATGTGACTCAATAAAGAATTGTAGGATCACCTAAATTAAACTTAAAGGCGTCGTTGTGTTCTCTATGATATGAGGGTCCGACCGGCCCGACACAGAATGCCAAAAGCTGCAAAATGATATAGGGTGCGACTGGTCCGACACTTGATGGCAAATGCTGTGAAACGATATAGGGTGCGACCTGCCCGGAACTTGATGCCAAAAGTTGCAAAATGATATAGGGTCCGATCGGCCCGACACATGGTGCCAAAAGCTGCGAAATGATATAGGGTCCAACCAGCCTGGCACTTGATGCCAAAAGGTGCGAAGGGACCGATCGGCCTGGCACATGGTGCCTAAAGCTGCGAAATGATATAATGTCCGACCGACACGACACTTGATGCCAAAAGTTGCGAAATACCAGGGGAAGTACACGATGTGAAAAAAAAAATGAAAATGCATATACACGAGTTTATGTATATATGTATGAATGTATATGATTATTGGACTACGATGGCTAGACCAGATTGTATGACGAATGTGAGTGGTCACTTAAATGATCAAAGTGATTGATCATGCGGTTATGTCAATGTATGGTATTGATGGGCAAAATGGTAAATTCTAAGGACGTAAAGTCATTGATATAATTGAAGTGGCCCTAATACATATAATATATAGAGGTACTCGGGGTAATGAAGTGACCCAGGTCTGAAGCATGGATATCAACTGAGTGAATGTGGATGCAAGAGATTATGAATTGAATTGTATGATATAATAATTATGTGTTGAACGTGATGATGATTACTTGTGATCTCGTTATGTGATGGTGTGACTAAAGGACATGCGATATTGTGGAAGCCTTAAAGGTTATAATTTTTATATGATGCATCTAGATATACCTTATCAGGTGTATCATAACTGTCCAGTTAGGCCAGAAAATGGCTGAGAGGTGGGTGGCGGGAAACTGAAATCTCCACGTTCTATTATGTCACTAGGAGGATTCACTAGTCCGTTAGAGTTATATTTGTTGAATATCATATTAAATAAAAATGATATTATTCTATGATGAGTCGGATTATCCGATGAGCATATATGGTTATTGGAAACATGCAATAGTATCATAAATAGTAGGGTGCTACAATAACTATGCCTAAAAATTGCAGAGGAAAAGAGAAAAAAAATAAAACTTGACAAGTGGTGTCGAGTTGTGATTTTTGTGAACTCCTTCTCTGTTATCTTCACCTCCTATTCATGTAGTTCACTAACACAATGTGTGTTAGCTAGTTCACATGCAGGAGAGAGTCAGTTTCACTATACTTCGAGAAGATACAGATTACAGAAAAGTATGAGAATACAAATACTTCTCCATGTGGTCTAAACCTAATTTAATATGGTAAAGAAAAAGCAATTACAACCAGATTCATAACAACAACCCAAACGTGTAGTGTATCAGTCTATTCACCATAGACATACAATCATAACCAAATAGTTCGATTCAAGTTACATCAACGTACTTCGAAATCTCATCTTATATACAAAATAGATATTGTACCGTTCAAATCACTTCTCGTATATGTTATTCCTTCACAATTGTATGTTTTATTCTTTTCTCTATTTCTAGCTTCAACCTTAAAAAGCAAAAGAGGGAACACAAGTACACAACTACACAAGTGTACGAACGAAATGGTGATCATTATTCAATATTGGCAATGATTCCTCGCTGCTTTCCACTTCCAGCATGGATGGTTGCTTCACTTGCTTCAGAACCTTTTCCATATTGTCTCTTCAATGGGCCGACACTCATTTCCTTTTTAATTCCGTTGGATATGCTCCAAAGTCCAAACCAAGATTTTAATAGATAAGTTATTCGCACTCGATCTTAAAACTAATTAAGTAAATAAACATTTTTAGAGTGTACGAACGCATTTTTCCTACTTTAGGAATTTATAATTTTCTGTGGGCATGGAAATTGGGGTAGATTGATATCTTTTACCTAGAGGTCGCATTTGGGTTATATTCATTGCGGGTGATGGTTATTTGAGGAGTTTAAACCATAATTTTAAAGTAGAAGTTCGGTTTATACCATATTTTTTTTTTTGCTCTTTATGTTAATACAAACTCAACTTGTGGCTTTATGTCATATTATAAGTTCAGTTTCTAGTATAAAAATTTATAAAAAAATACATACACAAACTGAATTTATACCATAACATTAAAGTACAAGTTAAATTTGTACCATACATATTTTTTTATAAACCAAAGCACTTATACTATAAAACATTTGAAAATTCCACTAATTTGAGTTACCAGATAGTCAGATCGCAAACTAAACGGATCACTGGGTAATTGAACTGTGGACTATGGGTGTGCAACGGTTCGGTCCGTTCCGTGCCAGACCAAACTCACGAGAATCAAGGTTCATTAGTGAGAAACATCTTAGGACCAAGTACCGGACCATCATTGCATTTGGTACGATCCAAAAATTATTTCGGTCCATTTTCTCTTCAATAATTATAAAATTCATAAGACCAAGGACCAAAACGTATTATACTCAGTTCGGTGCGGTCCGGTCCAAATGCCTATTTGGTCCAGTGCAGTCCCATACGGACCGAACTATTGCACACCCCTAATGTGTAATCAAGGGGTCGTTTGCATGAGTACTCATTTATAAAATGAGTCGTTTGTTCAAATGTAGACATTAAAGAATGTAGACATTTTGCATATTCTATTGTCTATTTGACACTTTTTAGATGAGTCATTTGAATAATGTTACCATTTTGTGCTTACATGTAATATTTCATTATCTTGTTTCGTATCCTCGTAAAACCAACCACGTAACAAAATCATTTTGAAACCAACAAAACATATGATTACGAGTAATGTGTAGCATTTTCTAATTTTAAATAATATTTTCATGTCAGATTTCTTTGTAATAGGTAACGGCTCCAAAAGTCTCACATTCGAGCTAATTACGCCGCTTTCTTGAAGGCACCAACCGCGTTGACACGAGGAGCTAGAGTCACGAGGAAATGACAGAGGCTAAGATAGATGACCCTCCTTGGCGCTTGTGAAATTTGGCGAAAAGAATAATAGGAGAAATAAGTAATAGAAAGACATGGACAAAAGTGGGTTTATGAAAAAGTGGCAAGGATATAATTAGAAAGATTGAGTTAAATAATGAGTCATTTGAAAATGACTTATCAATTGGAAGTATTTGAAAATGACTCAATAGAGTTATTTAGGATTTTCGTATGACTCATGCATTTTTTTTTAGAGCAATGACTCATTCAAATGACTCAAAAACAAGCTATCCCAAATTGGTTGTAAACCGGGTCGGGTTGATGAAAACTCGGGTTCTCATTTTAACACCTATTTTGGGGAACTCACTTCTAAGCCCAAAAGAAGAAGATGAAAATGAAAAATGCAAATTTGTGGTCTCGGATCGGCTGTAAGCAGTTGGGCCATTGTATCATTTACCAGACTCGGGCATAATCATAACTTCTGAATGGATCTTTTTGTACGAGGAAATCTTATCTTAATGGACTTGATGTAGCCGATACGCTTATCTCGTGGAAAAGGTGCGAGTCCAAACTCCGATCCATAAAAATAGTTGGGCCTACGTTTAATCGCAGTCCTGAATGTTTGTCGTGTCCAGTGGGTTGGTCTTCATTCGTCTAATGAGCTAGTTGCTAGCTCCGCCGCCCCGGCCCAATACCATCTGGGCTGTTGCTTCTATGCATTCTCATCCATTAGTTTTGTAAAGGGGTTATAAGCTTTTACGGTTAAGTGAGGAGTTTTAGGTTCAAAACGATGTACCACTAAATTAAAATTTTGTTCACTTTTGAATTTTGATATTATTGTATTTTTATAAGGGTGACATCAATTAATTTAAATGCTACTTGAGATATTCAAATCTGAGACCTAAATGTTGAAGACAACCGATATAACCACTAAAACAAGCCCATGTTTGCTCTACTCAATCCATTCTATGTAGAAGCATAAAGAAAGGTAGCATCCTAAAAGTGTAAGTTTTTAAACATTTTGTAAAATTGCTAGAAATCTTCTAACGAGAAAATGTGATCTTTGAAATATAACATTAGTTGGACTTCCAATAACCATAATTGTCATCTTTTTCATATATTTTAAGGTCACTAGTCTAAGTTTTAAAGTGAGATTTTGACTGCATTGATTGGAAACTAACTGGTTATTGACATGGTACTGAAGCTTTGAACGACAGAGAGATCTAATGTTCGAAGATTCCCATTTGTTAAACAGATGATATTCATATCTATGTGATCTTCAAGCTCATATGAATTTGCTTTCGTTTCGTTTGTAATAATCACAGAACTCTATTCTACAGTCAAGTTGTTGCTTTGAGTATGATACAGCAAGCCAGTATGTAAGTGTTAGGTGGGGGAGATGCATGCAGCACGTTTCCCAACAAGTTGGCAACTTTGTTAATTTTAATTATATTAACGAAGATAACATAGATTACGTACTAATCGACATCAGCTGCTACACTAGTCAATTGTTATATCGCAAAGCAGCAGCAGGGCATGTGCGTTTGTAACGCCTGTCACTTGTACAACCATGCATGGCAAATTTGTGATTTAACTAATTAAGACCTTTATGATATATTTAACAAAATCTTGTAATTAGTAATGGTTGGGATTTCAAGAATTAGCATATTGTATGGATGTATTCAAAGATCCTGATTTCAAAGTTCACATTCTTTTTTTTTAGAATTATCATAAGAAAGTGAAAATATCCTGGTGTACTTTGGACTTCTAGCATGATTTAATCTATATTTGTTGGTATTTTCTTGATTTGGTCATGATAATTTTTTCTTTTATTAAGGTGATAAGATGGTTGCAAAGAACAGTCTTAGGGTAGTTTTGTATATGCATTAGAATCATAGATTAATTATTGTGGTTTCACTAATATAATAGTTCAAATTCAAACTATACCTTAAACCTCTAACAATTAAGTTAGGAAATGCGGACAAACAAGAGTGGTGTGTCATTGTGTGTATACCTACACGCAATTATCATATTGTTGTTATTTATGTGATTTTCATTAGTCGGTTGGAGTTAAATAGCTATTTAAACCCTTATGATTTCATTCAATATGGATTACACAAAGAATAACTACAATATTACTAATTTTTCTCGATCGTTATGAATATTCATCGCATAATTTGAATCGAGTCGGGTAAATCTTTGGATTATACCTTAGTTTAAGTGCAAATCATGAATGAACTACACATGGAATTTGCTAATTTCGAACGAAAAGAGAAACATTCAGGAAGAAAGTATATAGCGAGACTTCCTTCTAGAAGCACTTCATTTCTTTTCTATTTGTTTGAAGAAGATTCGCATCGGAATCATTGAAATCCTGCCAAAAGACATACAAACTTATGGGGGATTTGATGTTAGATTTACGTCCATCAGTAACTCGAGTGCCCATGTGGTGGGGGACTCCTTCTAGACTGTCTTAGGTCCCATTTTGGATCACTCTCCATCAATCTCACACCATTAACAATTTGGTCCACATCCCAACGAATCCGGACTCTTTCGCGCGACCAAAAAAGCTTGATAAAATCTTGATAAACTACACCAGAGATCATCAGATTCTAATCTCTTGGATAACTTATAAGTTGGCAAAGAATAACTAATTACATGCTGAATTGATGACTTCAAGTTGTTTTTATCTATGATCGACTGCGAAATATCATGAAGTCTTGCTGAAAATGTGTTTATATCCCCGCGACTATGAACACAGAGCTCACTATACTGTGATTAGCCATTTACAGCGTTGACGTGGGTGATCGATCACCACAACAAATGGCTAAAGTGATCGCTACGCGAACTAGCTAGAATTATATTCTCCGTGAAGAACCAGCTGTTGGTTTTCAATAACTCGAGTCGTTTGGGAGAGGTTCAGTCATGTCATTTACGTACTAATTCACACACACAAACACACACTCAGACGAAAGCCACTTCATATGACCGTGAAGTTTGCACAAATCTTAATAACATGCGTCAAGAACCAGTAGATCACGATAACTCGAATTAATGCAAAAGGTTCAATTATAGATCTTAATTATATAGTTTACTAACACTCTCTTCTTCACATTTATCCTTCCATCATGCATCTAGAAGGATTGTGAACGCAGTACATCTCATATATGTTAAGAATGGGTTAGGTGGGGAAAGATGGAAGGAAATCACGTGTACAAAAACAATTGAATAGAAAGGGTTAGAATCATACAGCTGCCCTGCTGTGTCCCTTTGCTTGGTCACGTGCGAGCTAGCTAGCCAGTCGAGTGGGCTCAACTGAACTTAGGGTTCGTCTTCTTGCACCGTACTGCGCCCTTTTACTCATTGAGTAATGCATGGTTAGGTTATTACCACGACGACAAGGACCCGCCGGAAAAAAAAAATGGTGCAGACAGTTTGCCGTCCAGTCACTCGACCGGCCGGAGGAACTCACTGATAATGTGTGGCTGCAGATTGGCTTCAGCTCGCTTTCTCCCTCGGAGTTCCCTTTCCATTTTGCTGGATTCTGGACCACGTACGCCATTTAACGTAACTCACTGTCTCGTCAAGACTCAAGATATGAAAGATTTTTGTCTTCTTTATTATATATAATTCCTTTGGATGAAAAGATGTGAAACAGTTTGATATACATGCTAATGATAAATGGGCAAGTCGGGAAGGGTATTTTCATACCTAAAATATGATATAATAAATTAAAGTTATAAATTTGAGTAAAAGTATATATAATTTAGGTAAACTCGTCGAAAATGGAGTGTGGAGTGAGTCGGATCGAGGAGAATACCTATTCTCGTCACGCTTGACGAGTAACATGTCAAGCATGTCGCGTAGGTCGTGTCAGATCGAAATCGTCATCTTATATCCAACACATTACCGAATAAATATTTTCGCTCACTTGCTCCACACCAACTACCCTAGCTAGCAGTTGCTTCTCTTGAGAAGCAGTACCCCTTCATCTTGTATAAGTACCACCAGCCCGCTCTGTTTTTACTAGCCTTTTCTATTAGTATCGAAACACAGCAAAAAAATGTTTTCATGCACATGCATTCTCCTTTAGTTCCAATACAAACCAAGTCGACGTGAGTTTATGTGTTCGTGTGTTTGTTGATTTATGGGATTTGAAATACCGCTACGTCAAATGAGTGAGCTCATCCTATCATGGGAGGAATTCTCCATAACCCTAAAAAAATTCTTAAAAAAAATAAAAAGAAAACCCTATCAAGATATAAAAGATGGAAAAGAAGATAAGAAATAAAAAGAAAAGGAAGATATTAAAAGTGAAAAGGAAACAATAATGGAGCAACTTGGCTTATATATAAGGCGTAGAAGAAGGTGCTAAATAGCCTATCACTTGGGTTGATAGCCCCTTTTTCTTTCTTTCTTCCTTCGACAAATGGTCTTTTATATGAATGGTTGATAGTTTCATTCACGGAAATGTGCTTTTTTATCACAATTATTGTCAATAAGATATCATAATATCATATGCATTATTGTCGTCCTTTTATTATTGTTTATTTTGCACCACATACAGAAAAAAGAACAAACAAACAAAGGAATCTGGTCTAGGGAACAAGTTGGGCATTTCTATGTAAACGAAATAACCTTTTGTATATTTGGGGAACTTAGGGTCACGTGATTTTAGGTTATTTTCTTTGTGGAAAAAATGGATTTCCCAATCGAAAGATTAATAAGTACCACCACTAAATATCCAACAATGCAGAAAATATTACTTATTAGCAACTAAGAAAGACTTGAGAGCAAGGCTCTCAAATAAGTTTTAACCGTTACATCGCTTTAGTAAGTAATATAATTTTGTCAGAGCAAAACTAATTTATATGTCGATTTTGCATGTTTTAACAAAACATGTAAGGAAAGCATATGGGTATAATCTATCTTAAGAACTCAATGGTGATGTAAATGATACTCACGTCCGTGAACTCTAATGTTGTGTTCCTGAATTCCATTCCCAATGAGGTCGAAGAGGGAAAGAATAAAGCTTTTTTGCATCCCTCTGGACCATTTTGATTCGCTTAAAGTTGTTTACGTTTATTTTGAACATTACATCGAAGAGGACAAAAATAAAGCATGTGGGTTCAAATTAGATGGAATTGGAGGTTGGATGAAGGAGTTTACGAACGTTCGAATTCGCCCAAATTTGCGGGTTTTAAACCCATATTGGATGGTTTCCAAAATTCATTAATTTTGCAACCAGAATCCACCAATTCGATGCCTATGGAGTATAAGTGTGATGGTTAGAGCCAAACTAGGCACTGAGACCGTAGGAGCATGACAAATTGATTCTAGATCTTGAAGACTTGATTGGCTTGGTACGAAGAGCCAACTCAAGACAATTTCTACCAAAATAGTCGCCTTCCTTGTAATTCTTCATCTTATTTCCTAAATATGTGCAATTATCCCCTTATGGAAATTTAGGTGATTCTAGAGTTGAAGATCATGACGAAATATAATTTTCAACGATTTCCAATTAATTCCTTGTCTGTATTGTGTTTGTTTAATCTTGCATAATTTATAAGAACATTTTAGTGAAAACAATCATCGCTCCGTTAAACCAGTGACTCGAAATTACCGTCGGACACCATGTCACTATATTTGTCCCTTTGTGTATTTTTCCATAGAAAGTGAAAGCATAAAACCAAAAATAACAAGCCCCATTTTATTCATTGCTTGCTGTCAATCCTTACCTACCCTCCCCTCGTCCTTCCTTGTGAGTGAGTGGTACGGTTTCCTTCCACATTTTTATGAACTTTTGAAAGGCACTTATCATCAATGATCACTATAATAATTCTTCCCCTTTTAATTTCAGCTTAGCACTTAAGACATTACTGGCAGGAACAAGATGAGTATGAACAATAGGTTATGAGTTTCATATCCTCTAATCACTATTTGCTAAAAAAATTCAAATTCAACAACTCTACTTGTAAAAAAAAAAAAAAAACAATATTTACGCCTGCTACTTCTCGAGTCCTCCGAAAGAGAGATGTTTTCACCACGCATCACACTTTTAGCTACCTCTATATATCTTCTTTCTACACACATCAGTATACCAACAACTGACTTGTTCGTTGAAGTGCAGATCAAGAAGCTCCCTCGTCTTTCTACAAATCCCCCCCCCCTCCCCCCCAAAACACAATCCGAAGAGATCAGTCGAATGAAACGTGAGTCGAGATTTGTCGGTCCAAACAGTGCAGTACTGTGTACGTACTCTCTGTGCTACTGAATTTATTCATTTGGGGTAAAGCGGTAGGTGTGTCTGTTTTGCGGTCACTCTCTTTTTCATAAGCAGATCGAGCTAGCTCGCTGCTTACTTCATTTCTCAGCCGCAAGTTGCTGCTTTTTGTTGGCATTAACTGATTGTGGTAGAGCTTACGAGTTGGATTCTCTTTACTGTTGGGCTTTAAAGAAAGGTTTGGTCCACCATTGTTTTCTTCTCTATAGTAGCAGAGCAGGAGGAGAAGATAATTTACACAGGACTTTGCCCTTTTTTCCCTTCCTTTCGGTAAGAAAATGACTCGTGACTTGTGAGCTAAGAGATACGAATAACAAAATAATACAAAGTCCTTCGTATTAAGAATTTATTATAACGCACTAGAATGCCCTTGTTGACGATCCTTTTATACTCCGACTTTACCTAGGGTTCCTCGAACTTGGAACTTGTTCAAGTCAAGGATATTGTGTGTTGCTAAGGTTGATTGGAACTTCTGACTAGATGCGACGTCGGATGGGTAATGTCCAAAAGAAAGCTCGAGCCAGCTAACTGTGACAATGTGCCCACGTAGCGCTGACTCATCAGCTAAAAGGTTTCTTATCATATGATCTGCTCGTGTATAAACAATATATATATATATATTTATAGACAGATAGATAACCACTAATAATTAGCTTAGCGATTTTAGGAAGGAGGTTCAAAGGGGGTTGTGCGCATTTTCCGCGCAATTTGTCCTCCCGTGTAATTTTCTTAAACTTCTGCATTGCCAATCTGCCATTTTTTTTTCCGGAATAGTACACCATTCGACTCCTTCCAGGGAAATACAAGAAAGTTGAGGGGGAGAAATAGATAGCTAAATATCTATTTGACTTGCGGACTCAGAAACACCAAGATTGTAAAATCGTATTAGAATATTTTATATTAAAATTGATGTTTAATTGTGATCCAACTGGTTCATATTCAACTTAATTAGTCTTTGATATGAGATTTTTCTGGCCGAACCGCCAGTACGGTACGGTTCAATCCTTAATTAATCTCAAATATCATCCAGGGTGTTGTTTCTAATGCATATATAATTTTGTTTTCGATGCATTCATTTTTTGCGAGTGCATACTATGCACCTGCTTCGTAATCGCCTTTTTAGCATATGATTTATGTCGAAACGATGTCATCATCACCCGGGATATAACGGACAAGAAAACATATGAATTTGCACAAATAATATTCAAAATTTACTTTGATACGAAGGATTTAGGATCAGGATTTGCAATTTGGGGTTTTGAGTCGGGGTTCAAGAGTAAAGATTTAATCTTAAAAAAAAATATTGCTACTTTTATTTTTAACCCCACCTCACTCTAAGTGCTAAGATCGCCATTGCATGTACACACACAAGACATAACATTAAACCAAGGAGGCTCGTTTGCAATTAAGTCGCAGTACGATATGCGCTCTATCATTCGTTCAACATAACTATACACCAAGGATTATAGAGCATTATACTTGAGGTCGCACAGAAAAATTCAATAATATGGTATTTCATGTTGAAATATTGTTTCACCCATTTCATACCGCTAAACAATCTAACACGGAGACACATAAGATGCTTTTACAATGATGACGTGGCACGAGCCCATTGGCCGATCGCGTAGCATTATTCTTATTATTATCAACCATATTAATAGCCAAAAAAAGGGTTTGAACTTTTCTTTGCTGCCTGCTGGAAATAGCAATAATAACAAGTAGTGGTATTTAATTATTATCGGATATATCTCTCAATTTACCGCTGAGAATTATTGTGTGGGAATTGAATTTCCTATTTTTAATTTTTTGTGGCCCAAGGACCTGAGAATCTCTCCAATTACCAAGGAAGGACGACAAAACCCCCTTTGGTAGCCGCACTATAAAATCCCCCTCCCAATCCTCCTTTCAATCGGCACTGCGAATGAGCGAAACTGTAAGAAACTCCTCCTCCTTGTAACCCTTTCCTTTTTCCCCCCTCTGTTCTCTTCTCCGAGGCTCCCTCTGCCTCCAATAATAATAAATAAATAAACCTTCTTGGTCCTTCTTCCCCTGCTATTTCCCACTATATTAGCTTAGCTATATATACGTAAGAATTATATATATAAAATTCTTATCGAAGGACAAGATGACGATCCGCATTGAGCAATCCGAGGCCGTCAACAACGCTGCTCCCGGTACGCCTCCTTCTTCTCCTTCTTGCGGCGGAACAGAGTTTCTCTCTTATCGTTGGACTAGAACTCTGTTTGTCCATGTTTGTTTAGGGAAGAAATTCTGATTACTATCCGAATATTCGGTTTATTCTTTTTAAAAAGAGATTTATTGAGATATTTTGGGCGGTGTGGTGGGGGGGAAATTTTCATTATGGTTGTTGCAGCAGTGGTTGTGGAGCAGAAGAACAAAGTCGTCGGAGAAGAGAAGGAGGAATTGGTGTTGGATGGTGGGTTTGTGGTGCCCGACAAAGTCGTCTCCAGCCATGGGTTCGCCGCCCCGGATATCAACGCCTTCGGCAATTCATTCAGGTTAGTTGTAAAATCCTCTGTTCTCATGAGTTTGTCGAGCTTATCGATCGTAATTGAGCAAAAAGATCCTGGGTTTTGGAATTGCAGGAACTACAATGCAGAGAACGAGAGGCAGAAGACGGTGGAGAATCTGTACAGGGAGCAGCACACTACCCAGACCCTTGATTTCGTAAGTTTAATTGGTCCTCGTCGTCTAGTGGGGATTTCTTTTTTAATTGGAAGGACATTGAGAATTTACTGAATGGGTGAAAAAAAATATGTGGAATTGTGCAGGTGAAGAAGATGAGGGCAGAGTACGGGAAGCTGAACAGGGCAGAAATGAGCATATGGGACTGCTGCGAGCTGCTCAACAGCGTGGTGGACGACAGCGACCCAGATTTGGACGAGCCCCAAATCCAGCATCTGTTGCAGTCCGCCGAGGCAATCCGCAAGGACTACCCTAATGAGGATTGGCTCCACCTGACCGCCCTTATCCACGGTAGGGTATCCTTTGACGAGGAATGAACACCCTTAACTGTTAGTACCATAGTCGGATTTTATACTGTAGAACACTTGGTTTATGGTTTTGTTTGATTGTTTTGCAGATCTTGGGAAGATTCTGCTTTTGCCACAGTTTGGTGGGCTGCCCCAATGGGCCGTGGTGGGTGATACTTTCCCTTTGGGTTGTGCTTTTGACGAGTCCAATGTTCACCACAAGTACTTTGCTGAGAATCCCGACAGCAAGAACCCAATCTACAGCACAAAGAATGGAGTTTACAAGGAAGGGTGTGGCCTTGACAGTGTCTACATGTCGTGGGGCCACGATGACTACATGTACCTGGTGGCCAAGGAGAACAAGACCACCTTGCCTTCAGCTGCATTGTTCATCGTCAGATACCACTCGTTCTACCGTAAGTATTGGGGGGATCGAATCGATTGAGGAGTTTGTGTTGCTTGTGAACATATCTTGTTCGATGTTGTCGTTCGTGGGTTTGATGTTGTGATTTTGCAGCTTTGCACAAGCACGGGGCGTACAAGCACCTGATGAACAAGCAGGACGAGGAGGATATCAAGTGGCTCCACATCTTCAAGTAAATACACTCAAAACTTGATTTTTTCTACCTCTTTATTGGTTTTGGTTACATGTAATGATGAATTTTGTGTATGGTTTTGTTGTTGCAGCAAATATGATTTGTATAGCAAGAGCAAGGTTCATGTTGATGTTGCAGCAGTCAAGCCGTACTACCAATCCCTCATTGCCAAAGTAAGTACAGCAAATTCTCCATTGGGCCTTTGGGCCTGCATTTCCTATTGGGCTCCTCCCCAATCACTCTTTGTTTCTTTAATTTTGGATTCTAATGATGATATTTTTTTGGTTGGGCAGTATTTCCCAGAGAAACTGAGATGGTGATTTGGCAACGAGGAAGAGGAAGGAGGTTCATGTCTTTGGAAGAGAGTAGTGGTGCCCATGAAAGCTTTTAGTAGTGGTGCCCATGAAAGCTTTTCTCCCTCTTTTGTTTTCTTCTCTTTTTTCCAATATCTCTTGTTATTTTTCTTTTCTTAAGAGGGCGAGGGGCTTGATTATAATTAGTAAAGCTTTTGTGGTATGAATGAATGTTGGAAGAGAAAGTTTGCTCATCACTCCCTCTCTTTCATTATGTTTTTTTTTTTTTGTCATAGATAGTTTGTAATAGATAGTTCTTTACAATGCATTGGAAATATAAATGCGGTAGTCAACCAACTGGGTTGCTACCGATGCAAGGGCCGTTTGTGCCACGCGATGGGCAGCCCTGTTAGTACTACGAGGAGCAAAAACAAAACAAACAACTGCAAAAGAGGTCTTCATGACTCGCACTTCTTCCAGTACCGCCCCACCTCTATCATGGCAGACGTCGTCCTCCATTGCTCGTCGTATGACCAATTGTGAATCCCCACAAAAGCAAACAGATGAGTAGCCACGGTGTAAACTCCAAACCATTGCATCCCTTAAGGCTAGTAATTCAAGTAAGAATGGATCGGAGATACCTTCGTAGTACTTACCGTAGGCGCATATCACTGCGCGGTCCCCATTGAAACCCACAAATCCGACGCTGCCCCCGACTCCCTTCTTTGTCGCTCCATCAAACCTCATGAGGATACCGCCTGGCGGGCAGGAAGGTTGGGGAGGAAGGCTGCGAGGAACTCGTACCGAAGCGGCCTGGCCATGCTGATCAATTGTAGCCTCTTTCCACTCGGTAACTTGATTAGTGAATTGGCGGTGCAATGGACCTGGTAGATACTGAATGTAGTCGTATGTAGACCAGCATCTCCCCTTCCATAATCTCCAAACCAGGAAGACCACCTCTGCTATGTCCATTTTGGAAAGCTGCATAGAGAAAAATAGATTGGACCAGGCCAAATCGTAATTAACAACAGCCATGGCAGCCCGGATATGCTCCTTCCCTGCTAGTGTCCATAGCCCTCGCGCGATCCTGCAATCAAAGAAGCAGTGAGAGATCGATTCCACGGCAGCTGAGCAAACGAGACAAGTGTCAGTGTCACATAAAGACTTCCCTTTCAGTATTTGGCGCATTGGAAGGAATCCACGAACTACTCGCCACAAGAAGACTTTAAGTTTGGGGGGAATAGGCAGGTTCCACAAGAATTTCCAGAATTGTTGATTAAGGAAAGGAGGTAAGGGATCAAACTCAAGGTGTCGGCCAGATGAGAGTAGGTGATACCCGGTCTTGACAGTGTACTGACCCGTCGCCGAGAAATGCCATATAAGCTTGTCTGGTCGCGGTGCAGATGGCAATGGAATAGAGAGAATCCACTGTACACTCTCTGCCTCGAATGAAGCGCGGATAAGTTCGCTGTTCCAGGTCCGGGTGAGAGGATGAATGAGCGAAGCAACGAACTGATTCTGCAGAATAACCCCGGGCAGCAGCATAGGCGAAGAAGGAGGGGAAGAAGGTAACCATGGATCATCAAGGATGCGAACAGCCGTCCCACACCCTATCTGCCACCTCAAACCACGCTTAAGGAGTGCCCGCCCTTCCAATACGCCCTGCCAAGCCCACGACGGACGGGAGCCTGCTGACGCGTTGAGAAAATCAGCCGAGGGATGATAACGAGCTTTGTAGAGGCGCGCGAGGAGAGAAGCTGGATCCTGCAGGATCTTCCAGGCTTGCTTGCCCAGCATGGCAACATTAAAGAGATCAAAATCTCTGAACCCCAATCCGCCATGAAATTTGCTGACACAGACCGCAGGCCATGAAATCCAGTGCATTCCCCTGTCTTTATCCTGACCTGCCCACCAGTATCGACTCAGCTGGCCATTCAGACGGCGACAGGACGTGGACGGCAGCCGGAAAGAGAACATAGCATACACTGGAGTTGCCGAGCCTACTGCTTTGATTACAACCTCTTTAGCCGCTAGTGAAAGGGACTTCGAACGCCAGCTTTGGATACGGACAGCCAAGTTATCCTCCACAAACCTGAACGTTTGAACCTTTGAACGCTGAACTTGGGCAGGCAATCCCAAATATTTCTCCATAGAACCGATGGATGTGACCCCAAGCAGGGCTGCCATGGCCACCGATTCCTGATCAGACATGTTTGAGCTGAAACAAACCGATGATTTCTGAAGATTGACTCGCTGTCCACTAACTTCTTCATACAAATGTAGCAATTGGAGCAGGTTATGGCACTCCGAGGACGTTGCACGCAAGAACAAGTAAGTGTCATCGGCGAAGAAGAGGTGAGAGAGAGTCGGAGCCAACCTGTGGATCTTGAGGCCATGAAGATGCTGAGATTCCATCGCATTAGTAAGCATAGCCGAGAAAGCCTCAGTGTAGATAGCAAACAGCAGAGGCGAGAGCGGGTCTCCTTGTCGTAGACCACGTTGGGGACGAAAGTAACCATGTTCATTACCGTTTAGGAGAACAGTGAAAGAGACTGTGGTGACACAGGCTTTGATCCACTTCATCCAATGATCATTGAACCCAAGAGCCTCCATTACGGCGAAGAGAAATCCCCACTCGACCCTGTCGTATGCTTTTTCCATGTCCAGCTTTAAGGCCATCCACCTATCCCGACCCTGCGATTTCGTTTTCAAATATTGCATCACCTCCTGGGCTATCAGAATGTTATCAGATATATCTCGACCTTTGATGAACCCATTCTGAGTATCCGAAATCACAGAGGGAAGAATCACCGCAAGCCGAGAAGTAAGAACTTTGGAGATGATCTTGTAAAAGACCTGACAAAGGCTGATGGGGCGCATCTGGCGCATAAGATCTGCATTTACTACCTTGGGAATCAAGGTGATGATAGTGTGATTGAAGTTCTGCAGGAGTCGGCCTGTTCTGAAGAATGAGAGGGCTGCCCGGCACACTGACTCCCCCACGATGTCCCAATAAGACTGAAAGAAGCCCCCCGTTAGGCCATCGGAGCCCGGCGCTTGCCCCTTTCCTATGCTGAAGGCTGCCGCTCTTATCTCTTCTCTAGTCACATTCGCCGAGAGAAACATGTTCTGACTGCTCGTGACCTTATGTGGTAGACCCAGCGCCTGCACAAGGAAGCCTGGTGATGTCCCATTAGAAAGAAAGAGTTGCTGGAAAAAACTTACAGAGACATTTCCCTTGGCAGGCTCTTCATAATGTGGCTGCCCATGGTCATCACGCAGGACCTCGATCAGATTATGCCGGCGGCGTTGAGTGGTAGTAATATGGAAGTAATTAGTGTTGGAGTCTCCCTTTTGCAGCCAAGTAGTACGAGATTTTTGTCTCCAGTAGGCCTCTTCTTGAAGATAGGCTGCTGAAAGTTGGGTTTCCAGCCCTGTGATTATGTCCCAATCAGTCTGGAGAGTATCTCGTTCAGCTTGTATTGCTTCCCGCAGCTCTCTGATATGGCGAGCTGAATTGGTTGTACCAAGCCGCGCCCATTGTACAAGTTGATGGCGAGCCTCTTTACAGAGGGAAAACAGTTGGAATTGCAATGTACCTGAAACATTCAGCTGCCAAACCTGAGCTATAATCTCTCGAGCTTCAGTGTTAGCCGCCCAGCGAAGATCAAAGTGGAAGCGCGGCTTTCCTTTCCCTGCTGCTGGGATTAATTGGAGCAAGAGGATCCGGTGATCGGATCCTAAATCAGAAAGATGAGTAACCTGCAAATTCGGCCAGGTAGTCAATAGATTAGAGGAAACCAAACCCCTATCTAATCGTTCTAAGATATGAGTTGCTATTCCTTGGCGGTTAGACCAAGTAAAAGGAGCTCCCTTAAATCCCACGTCTAGCAAACCTGCCGAGTTGACGAAGTCCCGGAATTGATCCATGGCTTGAAGGTTTGGGGGTCGGCCCCCAAGCTTCTCTGTTGACTGAAGTAAGCAATTAAAATCACCCACCACAATCTTAGGAAGATGATAAGACGAACACAAATGCAAAAGTTCATTGAATTGAGAAAGACGAATATTTACATCACAGTGAAGATGAACAAACAAGATGCCCAATGTACCCCAAACTACATGCTGGCATTCTACAAACAAGAAGAATCCAGCCTGTCCTAATATTCGACAATCAACGGAAGAAGAACACGCAAGAGCTAAACCACCTGCTCTACCAATAGGAGAAACACAATGAGTAAATGGAAATCCTAGACGCCTAAGCTTCTTATGTACAAAATCATCATCATGCTTAGTCTCACTTAGAAAGACAATCGACGGGGAGAAGCGGCAAACGGCCCCAAACAACGAGGGAATCGTCAGGGGGGACCCCAAACCCCGACAATTCCACACCACCATGCTCATCGCGGCTGCTGGGACCAGTTTGGGCTGGGTTCCTCCACCACTGAGTCATTCTCTTTGTCACCAGAGGTGTCCATCAAGTCCACCCGAGCTTTCTTCAATGCCATAGACACGTCCGCCGCACCATCCAGCATAGGCCTGGAGCGCACCAGAGAAGCAGGCTGATGGGGATCATGACCTCCCCCTTGCAACTGTGCCTCTGCCTCGAGCGGAGATGGTTCAGCCGGCAAAAACAGAGGAGCAGCCCCCACTGCAGGGGAGGCAGCAGCAGTTGATTGCGGCAAAGGCAATGGACGGCTTCGACTAGGCTGGCCTAGGCTCTTCTCTGTCCCTTCGCGAGCTTGTCGAACCCAAGTGAACTGCTTGCGGCTCAATAACGAGCGCTCGTTCACCTTTGGCCCTGACCTCGTCGACACCAGATCTTTACTGTACGGGGTAACCGTACCAGCGAGTTCCTCCCGTCGAGGGCAGCGTTGGCCGACATGACCAAGAATCCCACACAGAAAGCAGAATTGAGAGAGCCTTTTGTATTTGACAGTGGCCGTGAAGCTTCCTTTACTGGATTTCTCATGTGAGGCAGGCACTGACACCGGGAGCGGAGATCTGGCATCCAACCAAACTTTGGCGTGTATGTACAGCTCACCGGTTACTACCTCCCTGTGGACTGCCGTTGGTTCGCACCTGCCAAGGGCAAGGCCTAGCAAAGTACCCACTTTTCGAGTGCAGCAGGAGGGGGGAATATCCCAAAACTGAAGCTGGAGAGGGACGCGCCAAAGCTGCTCCGCCACTTCAGGGGTAACCGCCACCCAGGGAGCGAGGTTGACAAGGAATTTGGGGAGGAACCAGGGGGCCTCACGCAAAACTCCGTTCATAGCAGCCTCCGTCGGAAAGACAAATTGCAGCAGCCCCTCCTGCGCTGGGAGGATGGAAAGCGTCCCGAGACACCGCCACAGTCGACCAAGGGTGGTCTGGAGATGGCGGATGGGGGGCGAAGGCCCAACGATCCTGCCCAGGAGAGACAGGTCGCTGCGCTCAACTCCAGCCATGACATCATCGTCTCCAAACAACACCGGATTGAGAGCCGCCATACTGGGCAAAACCAATTTAGGGTTCGGCAACTGAGCAAGGAGAAGAAATGACGAGAGGGAGGAAATCCAATGGGGCGAATGGAATCGCATAGCCCAACGAAGGGATTTTAAAGCCTCCATCTGCGCCTCAGGCCTAATCCGGCGGGGCACGATGGCGGCGTGGCCGTTACCGGCAAGTCGCACGGCGGCGAACAATGCGCCCCCACTCACCACGATAGAGAGAGGCGAGAGAGATGGGGTTTTTTTTTTTTTTTTTTTTTTCCTTCGGCTGTTATCCCTTTATTTTTTTTAGATGATGTTATCTCCCTCTCTTTCATTATGTTATTTTATTATTATAATATTAAAAAGGAAAAAAATATCAAGAAAATGATCTTGGAAAGAAGTTGTCCTATTTTAATTGAGCGGGCTTGCTTACCAAATTAAGAAGAAGTATGCTAACTTGGCGGTTGTCATGTTAGCACCACGGTCCAGTTGGCGGTTGAGCCCAGATCCAGTTGTTGAAATAACAGTAAGCCGAGGCCCAGACAAAGACGGGTTTCCTGATTTTTACGACGAGGCATCAAAACAAGTGAAAGTCATATATGATATAACGTTTCAGCTTAGGCCCGCAATCTCTCTTCCATCTGTTTTTTTTATTCATCTATCTTTTTCGCTTTTCTATTGTTCTCACAATTCACAACACTTCAAAGTTAATGCTTCAGCTAAATTTCTTATAATCCTAAGTTAATTCTTTTTATCAATGAATCAACTAGATTCTCTATAATGATACACTCTTAATGCTCAAACAGTTAGGGATTCTCTATTAAAATAATGTTCTCATGACGAACTTCTCGCCTCTTACCGTTTGTAGTGACAATTTAAAGTTGATTATTTAATAATTTTAGGCTGACGAGGCAATGACATGGCGTGTTGACTATCAGTCAACGGTGTTGACCATCCAAATTGACGGTCAAACCTTGTGTCATGCCAATTGAGTTAATATGCTGCATAGTTGAGGCCAGGATGTTATTTTTTGAAACCACGGGCCAAAATTAATTATATGGTCATAGTTCGGACCAAAATAAGGTATTAACCCAAGCCTATAAATATTGATGTTCCTGTGGAACATTCAATCATATTAACACGTTGAATGAATTTTGGGCATTAGCACAGTAAGTGAGTAACCTTATTGGTCCTTTCTCAACCTCGAAACAACTGTACCGGCCTAACCACTCCAAATCAGGCTCCCCTGTTTAACATGCTTCCGGCCGAATATAACAGAATAAATATGGTTGAAGATTCTCTCTGATTAATATCAGCCAGTGAGCCATTGACACTCTATCGTATCATGGCATCTCGTCGCTTTCAGTCGCCAACAAAGCAGAAACGCCCTGAATTGAAACACTCCCTATAAACAAGAAAAGGCAGAGATTCCCCCCCTCCGATTCTGATCCAGCTCAGTCAGACCTCAAAAAAACAGAAAAAGCTGGCCTTTCCTTCTACTCTGTTGATCAAACCCACACTTGGAATCATCTCCAGAAAACAGAGAAAATACAAAACCCTTTCCTCTGTTTTCAAGTTTCCCCCCTGTAATTCGATTTAGTCTGAAGAGTCAGTCAGTCTTCGATTGTTGCAACTCGGCCATCCCCAACACTCTGGGGTAAGCTAGTTGTCATCTCCCACAAGTAATTAACCCACTTCCCCTTTCCCTCTCCACGCTTCCTCCTTCATTTTTCCGATCGGAGGAGGCGCCAAAATCCGACGAAATTAAAATCCCTCATGGGCCGCCGGCAGAGCTCCCAGACTCCGCTTCTGGGCGCCGATGAGGGCGCTTCACCCACCCAGAAACGGGATTGGGGCAAAATTGCTCTGTTCCTGATTCCTGCCTTGTTTGCCATCGCAGGTCAGAATTCTATGGGGTTTGGGAATCATGGGTTTTTTTTCTTTTTCTTTTCCTGGGTTCCGTTCCAAATTTCAGCTAAATTGAACTTCTTCCTCGCCTCTTGAATCTTGATTGGCTGTGTTCATTGCCCTCATTAGTCATTACTTGGTGATTGCAGCTCTGCTGGGACTGTTCCTTGCGGGCGATGGGAATCCCCTGTTTCCGAACGGCGGGAGAGCAATTGAGGCAGAGGAGAATGCAGAAATCGAGTCGGAGAATGGAGTTGTGGCAGCAGATGACGGCAGGTGCTCTCAGATTGGGGCTTCGGTTCTCAGGCAAGGCGGCCACGCCGTCGATGCGGCGGTCGCCACGGTGCTGTGCCTCGGAGTGGTTAATGCGATGGCGAGTGGGATTGGTGGTGGTGGATTCATGGTGGTCAGGTCTTCTTCTACTACCGAAGTTCGAGCTTTCGACATGAGGGAAACTGCCCCTTCTGCTGCTACAAAGGTTTCACCTTCCCCTTCTGTTTTTGTGTTTCTTTTGCTTTTAGATTGGCTACTTTGGGTAATTGTAATTTGCCCACTAATTTTTGAAATTCTTTTTCCCCCCATTACATTACATTACATAAATATCATTATTAGACTTTAAGGATTGATCACAATTCTTGAAAATCAAACATTATATTCTAATTTTTTATAAATAAAAACCCTTATATTCTTTTAAAAAAAGCCTTATATTCTAAGTTGCATGCTATATCATTTTCTGAAATTAATATATTCCATGATACATGCATTTGAATTTTGAACAACCACCTACTTTTAAGTTTTAGGGTTTTGATGAGTAATTATAATATATGAAGGTGATCCAATTGTCTTGAAATTGATATGTTAAACAATTGTTAACAGAAATTTTGGATGAATTAATTTGGACAAAAAATTTCGAATTGATTTATTTCGAGTCAATTCTAATTATGAGGAAAAAGACAGATAATTCGAACTGGCTCTATATAAAATGAAATTATTGGTCAAATGGTTTAACAACCTGTTAGTATAATGAAAGGAATATGTGTTTGATTAGGTTGAAAAAATAAGAGTTGATGAGATAGAGGATAATTGATAATACAAAAGTTGTTAATGATGAGATGGAGAGTTTTGAAAAATGACTCTCATTAGTCATGACTCATGAGTACACCTTTTGGTGAGTACCTTTTAAGAACAAATTTATGTGATAATGTTGGAAATGGATTTTAATGTATTGAGGTAGGGCTTAACATTTATTTATATATAATGAATCTAACAGAATAATATCTTAATAAATTCGATCGAATAATTGTGTTCTTCTCAACTTTTACATCGTATTTTTTTTTAAGTTGAAACAATCACACCAGATACATCGTTCTAACTTCACCTTCCTGATTTTTTTCTCACGGTCTCTTGTTGTGAATTTGGTTGACTCGAGCTCAGAACATGTATGCAAATGACATTCAAGCGAAGTACTTAGGTCCACTATCAATGGGAGTTCCTGGAGAAATAGCTGGCCTCTATGAAGCTTGGCAGCAATATGGCCGCCTGCCATGGAAGTCCTTATTCCAACCTGCAATCAAACTCGCCAAAGATGGCTTTGTCGTCGCTCCTTACTTAGCCCTGTCCATAGCCGAAAGCACCAAAATCCTCAACGACCCAGGATTACAGCAAGTGTTTGCTCCCAACAACAAGCTCTTGAAAGCCGGCGATCTATGCTACAACGCCGAGCTAGCTCGAACGCTGGAGGCCATTTCCGAACACGGGCCAGAGGTGTTCTACAACGGCAGCGTGGGGGAGAATCTGGTGAAGGATGTGAGGAAAGCTGGTGGGATAATAGAGATGGAGGATTTGCAGAACTACAAGGTGAGAGTCACTGATGCAGTTGCTGTGGACGCCATGGGTTACACAGTCTACGGAATGCCTTCTCCTTCGAGTGGAACTCTTGGGATGTCACTTGTGATGAACATTTTCAAGAGCTATGGTGGCAGTGTCGATGCTGCAAAGGGGGGAATCGGTCTGCATCGGCTGATCGAATCGTTGAAGCACATGTTTGCGCTGAGAATGAACTTGGGGGATCCTGATTTTGTTGATATCAGTGAGGTTCAAGCTGAGATGCTTTCTCCTGCATTTGGTGAGAAGATACAGAAGCTGATCTTTGACAACACTACTTTCCCACCAGAGTACTACATGCACAGGTAAGCTGTCCAGGAACAAGTGTTTGCTTGTAACTGCCATTAAATGTATGATTCTCAAATGACAGTTGGACATTTTATGAGTTGCAGGTGGAGTCAACTGAGAGATCATGGCACCAGTCACTTATGCATTGTTGATGGGGAGAGAAATGCTGTATCGATGACGACGACTGTGAACTATGGATTTGGAGCTGGGTTGCTGTCTCCTTCGACTGGGATCGTGATCAACAATGAGATGGGTGATTTCTCAGTGCCGACTGAGCTATCAGATGATCAGCTCCCTCCCTCCCCTGCAAACTTCATCGAACCAAATAAGCGGCCACTATCTTCCATGACGCCTATTATCGTCACCAAGGTAAATCTATGTGTGATTGAGATAAAGGTGCCAACTTTATGGACTTAAATCCACCTGGATCAGAGGTGTCCCCTTAATCTTGTTTCTTCGTGTTTAACTGCAGGGCAATCAGCTGGCTGGAGTTCTCGGAGGGAGCGGTGGACTGTACATTATTCCAGCAATAGTACAAGTCTTCCTCAACCATTTTGTGCTAGGGATGAAGCCATTACACGCCGTCCTGAGTCCAAGGGTCTACCACGATGTTCGTAGTTTGCATTCTTCCTTCATCTAATCGCTACTTTGCAATGTCTGAAAAGAGAGGGTTACACCGAAATGTCGATTATCATCTGCTGTCTTTGTTTGCAGTTGATACCAAATGTCGTTAAGTACGAGAACTGGACATTGCTATGTGGGGATCACATAGAGCTTGCCGAGGAAAGGAAGGATTTCCTGAGAGAAAGAGGTCATCAATTGAATGCCAATGCTGGTGGAGCCATAGTCCAGCTTGTTGTTCAATCTCTGCAAAACGCGATCAACCGAAAGACAGACGCTGGCAACAATACGGTAATCCATGGAATGCTAACTGCAGTAAGTGACCTACGAAAGGATGGCAGGCCAGCAGCTGTTTGATCAATTTGAAAATGTTCCCTAGTTCTTTAGGACTATTGGCCAACAATAATGCCCTTTCATGTATATATATTCAAAGATGGCAAAAGAACAAAGGTCAATCTCTATTTCATCTGCAAGTAATCTGTGAAGAAAATATGTCATTCCAAGGCCTTGAATTGATAGCTGCAAGCTAAAGATAACATTTGATAATCTTACGAATCCTTAACAGGTAAACAGTTGGTTTCATCCTTGAAAGGGCAACACACATTTAGCTAAAGGTGAACAAATTACAGTATGCAGAATCAAGAACATGACGATGCCAAACTGCAGAACAGGACAGTTGAGTTACAAAGGAAACACATCGTTGTTATCTAGTCAACGCAGACAGGTTACAATTTTACACTGTTTCATCTTGCGTGAACATTCTTTACTGTAAGCAGAGAAGCTTTGATTGGTGACATGAAGTTCTTAGGTCTCTCAATCAACATAAATACGAAAAACGAGTAAGAGATCCGGAGTGTGAGATATGACGACAATGAATGTAAATTTAAGAATCTGTTCTTGCCTAGGAGGTTTTTTCCATCAACTGAATAGGGCTGAGGATGTTGGATTTGCTCGTCTCGACAATGCAACCGTTCATGACCATCTCCTCCAGCATGAAATGCGCTTTCTCTAGATGGAACATTATGTCTAGCTCACACTGATTGCAAACAACCACACATTTCGAAAAAGAAGTAAGCCTCTGCCTGATGCAACTTCACAAGCAAAATTAGGTTTTCAATCGTCAAAGAAAGACTTACCACATTGCCGAAATGACGGTCCATGGTTTCGACTAAAAGATGTATGAACTCCAGAATCGCAAGCTCATTCTGCAAGCAAGCAAAGGGAAAAAGGTAAGCCAACTGGAACACCATGTTCAAACATCGGTATCTCCATAGCAATTCGAAGCAGAAAAACAGCACCAATAAGCAATAATCTCATATACAGTGATGTTTAAAACAAATTGATGCCCCTTTCCTTCCTAGAAGATGCAAGGAAGCAAACAGAGTCGAGAAAGAGGAACCCCACCTCGTCATTGTCAACTCCAACCAGGAAAAACAGGGATGCGTATCTCCTGTACACGATCTTGTAATTGCGATGCTCGACAAACGAGCACTGCCACCCACAATGAAACTCAGTCAGATCATATTCAATTCAGCTTCGAAAATTAGAAAAGTCTTGCTCTTCTACAGCAAATTCGGAACATAACTGGGTTTGCTTTCTGGTTTTGATTTAGATGGATCGTCGAAAAAGGTTTAGCCTTGATGATAGAAAGAACAACCACTATGGAAAATTAGATTAATTCAGGAATCGGCGGGACCTAAGATCAGAGATATGAGGGGAAATCGTGATCGGAACAAAGTGAGGAGAAGAGGGGAGGAGAAACCTGCTGCTCGTTGCGGGCGAGGCACTTGCGGACAATTTCGCCTTCGATGGCGCGGCGTTCTTCGAGGGTGAGCCATTCGTAGTACTGGGCAAGACGAGTCTGGCCTTGCTTGTTCACCATCAATATGAACCTGATCCCCATTCTTTCTTTGCCTTTCTCAGCAACCAAAGAGAGAGAGAGAGAGAGAGAGAGAGAGAGAGAGAGAGAAGGAGGGACTAGGGAGGTACGGAAGGCTCTTGGCTTGAGCTTCGGCCTTCGGTCAATGAAAGAGGAAGCGCATCTTCCAAATCCTATATGGATTTGGAGGGAGATAAAGCTCAATTGGGCCTAAGAATCTTGGGCCGCAGCCCACTTTAGTAATTGTCTTTCTCTTTTTTGTCATGTCGGTGGCATACTCGTCGGTTAAAACTGGTTCAACCTGTGTCATTCATGAAACTGGTATGACTGTTGTGATCGACTTACGAATTTTAACCAAAATGATGTCGTTTTGGAGAATTTAACTAATACAAAAAAATTAATTTTATGAATTTAAAAGGTGAAAGTTGATGTTATTTGTTGGATTGCATGTATATTATTCATAAATATGTTTTTATATATGATTAAATACATCGAATGTTAATAATTTCATAATTTTACATATTTTATTAAACTGGTATGAACCGACGCACACCAATTATACCACTGGTCGTATAATTCCATTTGCCAAACCGGTGCAACGGTACAAACCGGTTTGACAACCTTGCTTTCCATTAACTATTCCTTTTCTTAACCTTAATACCTAGTTTACCCTTTCTAACCTCCTAACTAATAACCTACCATAAACTAATAAAATCCTTTCAGTCAATAGAAAAACATTAAGATTCTTTTTAAGAAATGAGACTTAAAGATCGGATCCGATCTCAGAATGAGGCACATACAAAAATCGGCCATCACCTTGTTAATTTAATAAACTAGTGTAATTGAGCCTTGACCAAATATGATTTACATAGACTAGACTTAAGATTACGGTGTGCAACAATGTGTAGCTGTAGGATGAGAATATGAACCCGCCCCGTCGGGTATTACTCGACCTGACCCCCAGTAGACTGGGGGAGGGGAATGGGTATCTACTTTCTACTTACTCTGTCCCGCCCCGTTCTTGGCCCATATTATCTTAATTTCTTAATGTAGTTATTCATATTTATCTTATTTTGACTTTTCTTCAGCTAGTTAGATTTGATCTTTCAACTAGTTAAACTCAATTACCCATTCTATTGTAACTATTTTTCATTTATACAGTGTTTTTCCCTACGTTTTTTTTTTTAAATAAAATTTTGCGTGTCTCTTTTAAAATATCAGATAAGAGTGGTTCGACCCGTCCCAGCTCATACTCGCGCGGGTATTACCCGCCCCGTAGTAGTGTGGGGCGGTACAAGGGTATTTGCTCCAATTGAGAGGCAACGATGGAACCAAATATGTTAGCTTTAATGCAGTCCAAATATCAATTCGATCCATTTTCTTTTATTACATATAAAATTCATAGGATAAAAAACCGATTACATTATATTCGAATCGATGTGCTTGGATCCAAATGCTGATTTGGTCCGATATAGTCCGATCCAGACCTAACCGCTAACAGTAAGAGAGGCACGGAAGCGTGCCTGCCTCCTTTCCTAGTATTCTCCATCGTTGACCGACTTGGGTGGTACGTATTAGCCATTCCTCCTGCAGCTCAGCCTGGCGTCATCGAGACGAAATTGATTGATCGACTGCTACCCTTTCCCACCGCTGCAACAATAAGTTAATAACGCAGCATTTGACAAAGATGTTACTGTCTTTTTCAGTCCGTTCTGAAAACAAGACTAGAAAAAAACTACAAGGAACCTTCACAGAACTATTATATATCTCCCTCTCTCTATATACATGATATATCCTGGTCAGTTTCTCTGTCACTAGATCTCGAAACTACTTTTATAATTAGTATATATATATATATATGTGGTAATAAGAGTGCCCTGGCCGGCCTTTACGATATGCCGCCGCAGCCAAAACCCGAAGGTCACGACGTGTTCATAAGCTTCCGGGGCTCCGACGTCCGGCACACGTTCGTGTCTCGCCTCCGCGCCGCGCTCCGCCGAGAAGGCGTCACGTCGTTCGCCGATCACGACATGCCACGTGGCCAGAATTTGACGGAAGCGATCCCACGTGCGATCCAGCGGTCGAGGGTCTCGGTGGTCGTTCTGTCCCGGAACTTCGCCTCGTCGGAATGGTGCATGGACGAGCTCGTCACCATTATGAGGTGTTGCAGCCGCGGCGGCCACGTGGCTATCCCGATCTTCTACCATCTGTCACCGGAGGAGGTCTCCGGCTGCTACAAGGAGGACTTGGATCGGCACAAGCGTAGTTTTACTTACGAGAGAGTCGACGGCTGGATTCGGGCGTTTGCTTGGGTCGCCGGTATAGCCGGTTGGGTCGTTCCGGCGCCAGTTAGTGAATTAAGCTAATAACATGGTCTTCACCTGTAATTAATCGCATGTTTGTTAGTTGGTTAGTTGTTAATTATTGTTAGTTAGCCTTCTTGTATAGTGAATAGACAGATAAGTTATATACGTTTTCATCTTACTTTTCACCCTTGTACAAACTATATAGTTGTTTCTTTGTTGATGGAAAAGAGCTAAGATACTAATATATTTTTTTTTTTGATAGTATGTACTAACACTCAGTGGCGGCGTAGGCATGATTTCGTCTAAAGTACGTCCAATCAATGCAGTCAAAAGCGCGATTCTACCTAGAAACGGAAAAGGGATAAAATCGTAAAGCGTAGAATCAAAGCATAAAAGCGTAAGTTTTTTACGCGTGCTGTAACATAACTAAAAAATTGTTAAGTATGACATATACTATGTAAAAATATGAGTGCTAGGAATTTAGATAAAGTTAATAAATACATTCAATTTATGTCTAAAGTAGACAAACTTATAGCATCTTAACAATAAGTTCATAACCTAAATAATCTTAATAATAAGCCTAGAGGTGGCAAATGAATTGATCCATGGATCGGTGGATTGGATTGGTGGATTAGATCCAATGGATTGGTGGATTCATGGATTGGATCAAGTGGATTGGTGGATTATCCATGAATCCAAATGATATCCTCAACCAAGGACCAATATGTAAAATGTGAAAAGTTTAGGTACTAAAATGTCATAATGAAAAAATTAGGTACCAAAGCGTAATTTTTCAATGATATTTTTTGTATAAAAAAGTAAATTTTGGGTACCAAAATGCAAACTATAAAAAGTATAGGTACCAAATCGTAATTTGTCATTTGGATCTATGGATCAATCCATGAATCCACCAATTCAATTGGATTTGGATCAAATGGATTGGATTTAAATGACTTGGATTATGTGGATATTTTTAATGGATTGATGGATTGAATTGGTGGATTGGATTGAGAATTGCCACCTTTAAATAAGCCACATTCCCCTCTATACTAGAATTTGAGAATGACCTAGCTAGTGAATTTGATTATTGTATTGAAGATGAGAATGCATCCAAGTACCTAGTATGTATCTTTTAATCTCAAATGTATCATATTGTTGGTAGTTTACTTTTAAAATATACTTTTTGTAATTAATTTCTTGAAAAGAATACCCATTAGTGAACTAAAAGCGTAAAACGTTTTGGTGAACTAGAAGCGTAAAAGCGTAAGATTTTAAGCTTTAAAACGTAATTTTGTTCGATTTTATGCACTAACGATTTTATATAGAAACGAAAGCGTTTTGGTGACCTAAAAGCACAAGACCGTAAGTTTTTAAATTTTAACACACGATTTTGACTGCATTGCGTCCAATTAGAAGAAAAATACACAAGATAAAATAATTTTTGTTAACTTTAAAATTATTCATGATATACAATTTTATATTGAAAATTTTGGTAAATTAAAATACATTAGTAGTCGAAACTATGAAAAGTATCACTCTCTGTATCAAACAATTATTAATAATTTAATTAGTCATTCTCTTTCGAATGCTGTTATTTTTCAAGAACTGTTTAGTATCAATAACTTGAGTTGTTCAAAGAAATTTAACAGCGAATCTTACACTATATAAGAATTCATGATTTAGCTAGTCGTTCGCTTCTGAATGATGTTCTTTGTTAAGAACCGTTTAATATCAATAACTCGAATTGTTGAGAGATGTTCAATAATGTATCTTATACCATTTACTAGCATTCTCCCTCATATGAGAGAGTCGGCTTATACGGTATTGAAGTTCGCACGAATCTAAATACCGTGTGCTTAAAAAATTAGGTCGCAAAAATTCGACTACATAACCTTTCGACAAACTATTCTCCATTAGACGCCCCCTAATTTTCGATATCAACTAAGTATTGTAACTAGTTTAACTGTTTTCCTTCAGAACCAGATTGGGTCTCCGGACAATTAATCTCACATTTGTAAAGGAAGAGGACACTTGTCATTTTGGAATATTAGGCTATCGAGTATCCATACCAATCATACTATGGTCGGACAATTTGACTTGCAAAAACCCATATACCGACATAAATCGGTTTGACAACCTCGAAATTAAATCAGCTTCACGTACTAGCTAGACAGCTGCCGGAACAACCCAACCAGCTATACCGGCGATCCAAGCAAGCGCCCGAATCCAGCCGTCGACTCTCTCGTAAGTGAACCTGCGCTTGTGCCGATCCAGGTCCTCCTTGTAGCAGCCGGAGACCTCCTCCGGGGACAGATGGTAGAAGATCGGAATAGCCACGTGGCCGCCGCGGCTGCTACTGCAACACCTCATAACGGTAACCAGCTCGTCCAAGCACCATTCCGACGAGGCGTAGTTGCGGGACAGAACGACGACCGAGAGCCTCGACCGCTCGATCGCACGTGAGATTGCCTCCTTCAGATCCTCGCCGCGTGGCAGGTGGCGAGCGTCGTCATCGGCGAACGACGTGACGCCTTCTCTACGGAGGGCCGCCCGGAGGCGAGACGCGAAGGTGTGCCGGACGTCGGAACCCCGAAAGCTTATGAACACGTCGTGACCTTTGGGGTTTGGCTGCTGCTGCAGCATATTGGAGTGCAAAAAAGAATGTCTAGACATAGAATAAGATCAATCCACTAAACTGGCAGCTTGATTGCAGTGCACAATTGCCTATTTAATTATTTACGAGGTCTTATGGATTTGGAACATTGCATTTACATATATGCACGTGGAGAGGAGGGTGTACATATATCCACGTGGGGAAGACTGGAGAGAGAGAGAGAGCATGATGGCCATGATGATGTCACTGAGGCGCTTTGGACTTTTTTTCTGGTCCAGTTGATGCCGCTTTCTTTGGCCAATTCGCAATCACACAACTTATATATCATCACAAAAGTTTGTGTTTTGCACGATTTGGTGATATATATATTTCTAACTTCTAACGAAATGGTAATTTCATCAATCTCCACCTAAAATCCTAACATAAATGTTGATGCTCCTGCTGAACCAACTTCACCATCGACAAAACGGTCATTCCGTCAATTTTCACCCGACAACATATATACGCGTCATTTAGGATTAGATAATATATTTATTGTTAGATTATTGTGTGTTACTTGTCAGATTACATTCAGATTATTGTGTGTTAGGCAAATGGAATAAGCCTAGTGGTATAGTCGCTTTTCTTGCGGAGTTGTGGCACCAGTTCGTTTCTCCTCGACACTTGATAGCAAAGGCGGATTTAGGGGGGCCGACCCCGGTCCATGGCCCAGCCCTCCCCGGATCCAAAGCTCGTATAGTACTTGTAAATTTTTGATTTTGGATATATATTTCAGTGTTTATTGGGTTACAGCTTTTTAAATGCGGCCCAATACTTTAACCTGTTCTAGATCCGCCGCTGCTTGATAGCGTGTTCTTCTTTTCGCTTCATCTCCTTTACCCAAAAAAATATAAAAAATAATAATAATAACGGAGACCGTATAGTCTATGGAAGATCATAAGAACTTTACCACAATTTGGGCGGGAATTCTTTGTGCCATGAACTCTCAACTGGTTAACAGTTAACACCAATTTTTGTCCTTTTCCGTTTTCTTTATTATCTATATCCGAATTATTGTTCTATGGACAATAATTACATCGTATCAATGTTTTAGCTCATTTAATTATTTCGTTTATTAGGCATGGAAAACGGCGCATGTAAATGTGTTTACCCCTCCTCGTCCGGAATGGGTTATGGTCTTATGGATACTAAATTACTATCTATTTTACCAAAAAAAAAAATTACTATCTATCCATCTTCGTATTTATGTGTGTTTAATTTGGGTGCGGATAGTATAACAACACCCTCTATGTTGTTATAATAACAACAAGTTTCATTAAGGGCAAAACCGTACACATACAAAGAAATAATAAAATTAAAATATAAAGTTGTTGCGCCCCAAAAATCCTTCCCCGTTCTCTCAAACCCTAAAGTACCGTTTGCCTCTACGGAGTCGCCGAAACCATGCCTCCGAAGTTCCATTCGTCTCAGCCTCTCAGGTGGTGGCGTCTTCGTCCGCGTGACCGGCGGTGAGGTCGGAGCGGCTTCCTCCCTCGTTTCCAAGATCGGTCCAACGAGTGACTAATCAATCAGGGAATGAGGTTTTTGTCAATGGAACTGGAACTCGTTTGCGAGTTCGGACGAGGCCATGAAGGAGGTAAAGGAGGAAGTTCTTCCGATTGAATTTTGGGATGCATTGATAGTGGCGTCGGAAGAGGCTGTAGAGTGTGACGATGGTGATTGGATGTACGACGAGAGAGGTGGAGAGCGCTTTGGAACAGGGGAAGCAGAGGGTGACGATGGTGATTGGCATTCTGATTTGTTAATTGTCGCAAGGAGGAGAAGGAAAGGTTCTGCCGGTGGTAGCAGCCGCTCTTCCTTCCTCCCGTTCGGAACCGCTGCCGCTCAACAATATTTCCAAGGGAAAAAAAGAAATGAAAGAAAGAGACAATATGTACCAATATGTGTATAGATTTGCTCCCATTTCTATTTCTATCAAAAACGTTCCAGGGGAAATGATTTATTCCCATGCATTTTGGATTGGCCATTTTAGAGTACAATTTCTCTCGTATTGGTTCCGAGGTTCGGAGAAAACAAACCATAATAATTGAACTATATTGAAGTATAATGAAGTAATTTGAAAGAAATGTTTAGTCGTGGTTGGTATGAGTTTGGTTGCCGATACTATAACACATATTTCTAAAGCACACAAGAAATATCTTAATGCATACTACAAACAATACAAAACAAACCACAAATCTCTTAAAACATACTAGAAATGCCACAAAGCAAACCATAAATATTTCAAAAGCACACCAGAAATCTTTTAATGCAAACCACAAACACGGTAAAACAACCCACAAAAAACATACAAAAACCTCCTAATGCAAACCACAAGTCTCGTCAAACATACCAGAAGCCTCCCAAAGCAAACCACAGAAGTTTCAAAAGCACACAAGAAACTTCATAATCCAAACCACAAACACCGTAAAGCAAACCAAAAAAACCAAACAGAAACCTTCTAATGCAGACCACAAATCTATTAAAACATACTCGAAACTCCACAAAGCAAACCAAAAGTATTTCGAAAGCACACCTGAAATTTCTTTATGCAAACCACAGACATGATAAAACAAACCACAAAAAAAAAATATGAGAAAGCAAACAAAAAAAAAACATATAAGAAACACAAGAAAGCAAACCATAATACGCACAATAAACACGAGAAAATACACTATAAATCTATAATGCAGACTACAAAATCCGGCGACTAGTGATCGTTGAATGGACTTCCTCGAACAGTGATCATTATATAATAATTCACTACATTTTCATTGTCTCATAACATTGTCGTCAGATATGAGAAAGTTAGTTTCAAAAAAAAGTTTGTATCCCAAGTAAACGACGAGGCTCAAAAATAATTTATAAATTTATATATCACATTCATTCCACAATATGATCCTATTTTTTAATTTTATTTATTCTTTTCTTTTATGGAAATTAATCTTCCAAGTAAAACAAAACTCTTGCTTTTTTCCCCAAAAATCTGGCGCTTTTCTAGCATTAGGCGGCCAGTAATTATTAGTAATAATAAAAAAATAATGGTGAATTAAATTGTCAATTAAATGAGCCTTGGGTGATGAGGGGAGGTCACGCGCCTGCTCTAAGAAAGTGCAAGCTCAAAACACGCAGGCGGCATGGGAAGAAAAAAAATGTAGTGACAATTATGCCCTTCCTTTAATTTTTAGCCTACAAAAATTCAGTCAACTCATAAAACAAAAAAGTATGCAGAAGGGTGACTTCCTATTGGTTGCCCTATGTTGTTGTCATCATAACAACAAATATGGTGTTGTCACCATATCCGGCCCCGTTTAATTTGGGTATTTTTGGTTGGTCAAGTTTTACCCGTCACACTCAAATAGTATCCAAAAGTTGAAATTAAAAAAAAAAAAAGTTAGCCAAAATCAAATGTAACCAAAAGCAAAATAACTTAATTGCATTCAACTAGCAGTCTGACACCGTTCAAACTACTAACCAGCAAACAACAAATCCATAAACAAGACATAATGACTCTAATTCTTTTTCACAAGTACCGAATACCAAAATTCCGAATACCAAATTGCACTCTGAAGCCTTGATGTTCTTCTAAGATCTAGGACATGGGTTGTTTCGCCATGGTATTGTTGTTCTCTTTGAAGTCTTGATGTTCTTCTAAGAACTCTGAGGATCCTTTCAATCTCAATATCAAGCGGTATGAGATTGACTTAATACCGTCTTTCGCTCTTTGCATGCAAGGAGATTAAACGCAACGGTTCAAAAATACCTGTCACACGACAGTGGAATAAACAAAGTAGAGTGACTATATAAACAAAGCATGAGAACAAGTCATGAGACAAACCTTTAGAATTATCTTAATATTTATTTTCTGAACAAAATCAAATTCATCTTGTATAAAATTCTAGCTACTCATTGTCTACGATACAAATACACAAATATAGTCAAATGCTCTGTGACGCGAAAGTTTTAACAGAAAATCCTAGTTTCAAATTCTGTATGGCAGAACCTCACTGGTCACCTCTCCTTTGAATCACCTGCCAGGACTAATTAGTGGTTAATTAGCATAAATGGTCACAAACCTTTGTACTTAGTACAAAACAGTCACAAACCTTTAATTTGTAACCATTTGATAACAAAACTTTTTTACTTAGAACAAAACGGTCACAAATTAAACAGTGTGACCATTTCATACCAGTTCAAACTTTTGTTACCGTGTCGTTGCAAATTAGACTTTTGGTGACCGTTTTGTACAAATTAATTTCAAACGTTTGAACGCTCAATCACCATTACAATTCACTCTAGTTGTATGGTGGTTTTGTTAATGTATGTGAATGATATTATGTTGTTTAGAATGACAATGAGAGAACTCAATGGCCAGAAACGGGTTCTAGACTGCTTTTCAGTTGAAAAAACTATGTCTACTTTTCTTGGTATCAAATTGAAAGGTCAACTGTGGGCATTCTTATTCAGCAAAGCAAATATGTCGACGAACACATGACTTGACATCTTATATGTCGTTCAAGTGGTTAGTGTCATATACTTAATGAACAAACTACTCGACCTCAAAACATGACCAACATTTAATTTGTAACGATTTGGTAACAAACCTTTGCACTTAAAACAAAAAGGTCATAAATTAAATAGCGGTGACCATTTTATGCAATTTCAAAGTTTTGTTGCCATATTGTTACAAATTAAAGGTTTGTGACCATTTTGTACTAAGTGCAAAGGTTTGTTACCATTTATGCTAATTACCAACTAATTAGTTGACAATTCATGTAGGTGGGCTGAATGCTTGGGCGTAGACATGGATTTGAGTAGTTCTGGGCTTGGCCTATGAACGCTGTAGTGTGGGCTTATGTATTGTTTTCAATTATCTTAAATTATTGCCTACACCTTTTGGGCTAGAACAACATTGGTGATCAGCCCATGGGTTTAACCGGATCCTTTGATAGAGAATTCGGTGGTGGAAGATGCACGAATGCAGTCGTAGTTCCACTTCTTTCTGCTACTTCAGGTATCAATATGATCCGTTATTTTTTTTTATAGTTTTGATTAGAGTTAATCTCAATTATCCATATTTAAGAGTTACGATAACAAAACAACTCTAGAAAGTCATGAGACTTTGATAACTCTTTAGTCTTTAGGTTATCATAATTTATAATTATTTATATATATATATAGTAGGAGCAATATCTAATTCACTACAAATATAATCTTATTACAAAAGCAATTATTATTCTTTTTCTTATTTTGAACAGACTAATAATTTTTATCCTATAATAGCTCCCCCATTGCTCTTATGAGGGATGAGATACGGTAACAATCCCAAAGGGGTTGTGAGATTGACAACCAAGAGTATTTTGGGTATGACAAAAAAACGAATTTATTAATTAATTTTTTATTAACTATAGATTGAGAATTAAAAACCCATATTAAATACACATTTTTTAAAATTTTGAATCCTACAATAAATAATATATGACGCTAATTTCATCTTTAGCTACGCGCATGGTAAGTAACTTCTTCATCTTTAGCTACTCATCATTCTCCAATGAGTAGAGTGCAATTAGCATAGTTAGTATATATGACGCTAATTTCATAGTAGCTATGTGTATTGGTGAATAATAATACGTTGTTTCAGGTTAATTTGTATGTATTCATGATTTTTATTATTATTAGTAAAAAAAATACAAAAAAATATTTTTATTTTATTTTCTGCTAGCTGACGTGGCAAGTGAGTTGGACTTTGACTAACAATCAACTCGATTGATCGTCCAATTTGACGGTCAAACCCGCCTCTGAGCCAAATAAGAAAGTATGCTACATAGTTTAGACAAAAGAGCAATTTCCGATACCACAAACCACAATAAAAAGTTTGTCTATAATTAAGACCAAACTAAGGTATTAAACCTAGTGTTAACATCATAATAATACTTTTGGCGGCATCACCCTCTACTTATAGTGCACGGGTGATGTGGATGATTGTACTTTTACTCTGTTAGTAGGAAGATGTTTGTGACACGATACCCCCTGTACGACTCTCACGAATCCACTCCCACAGGGCGCCTGCCTGCACACACGAACACGGAGGGGGCGCCTGGGCCCGTTAATCCTCCGACGCCCAAGTTAGTTTTTAGTAAGAGAAGTGTCTCAAAGTTAGAGTTTAGTGAGAGAGGCCAATCTGTGTAAATGCTACCAACTGCCCCTATTTATACTCACCAGAGTTCGAGGTTGATCTCCTCCACGTCACTGCCTCCATTTAATGTCTTGTACTTTTCTGGTCAGATATCCCAACTGCCTTGTCAGGCTTCTGGCACGTGACAGGCGCCCGCAGACGTTGGACCACTTGACAGCCTGGCTTCCTTTGACTTCTAGTGTCTTGTCTTCATGTGCCCCCCACCTTGCTTGGGCCTTGCCCCCAATTCTATTACTTGGAAGCCCAAACCGCCGCCCAATGGGCTTCGTTCATAATACCCCAAACAGAAGATTAGTTGTAAACATTAATTATCTTCCTGGAATTAAGCTTCCTCATTTGAGGCTTTGTTACGTAGAGTTGAGAGTTCGAGAGAAGTTTTTTTTATATAATTAAAATACGAAAAAGAGAAGAGTACACCAAGGTGAACATGGTTCACAAGAACTTAACGGAACAACCACTCCGACCACAGAAGTTACGATGTAGAGTGTGATGAGATTCATAATTGGGTGCAAAACTTATTCTAAAATTAAAAAATAAAAAAAATTCTGTAAGAGCATCTCCATTGGAATTGCAATTAGAATTGCATTGATGTAGATGAAAATTGCATCTTTGCAAGCTTGCATATAATGCAATTATGGAATGCAAGCCACATCATTTTTTTTATTATTAAATTATTCATTAATCTTATTATCTGAGTGTTTATGTTTTAATATAAAAAATAATTGCAATTACAAGTTAATTGCATTGATGTGGTGCAATGCAAGTAAGATGAGTTGGATTGTAAAAAAATAAAGTAACAATAAAAAAACAAATGCAAATACAAATTTCATTGCACCAATGGAAATGCTCTAACGTTTATAAGGTCAGTTTCAATTTAAGCTCATCCAGATTTATAATTATCCTTAGAGCCATACCCGAGTTGAACCTCAACAAAGTAAAGAAGAAGAAACGATATTAAATGAAACTAGCTTGTAACCCGACCCGTTGGTCGGAGGAGCTGAGCCGAATATTGAATTATTGGGATAACCCGTAGATTCAACCATTAAGCTAAATTGGTCTAATGGTGAGTACCGCCTAGCATATCCCTAATAATCATGCCAAAGTGAATATATTGGAACATAAACAGTACATCAAAAGTTGGTACAACCATGAAGTTAGACCATTAAAAACATACCAATGAAATTGAATAGCATCGAAAAACTTCAACTTCATTATATAATTACATGAGATCAGAAAGAGAACACCATTAATTTGATTTATAAAACTTTCATCTTGTCGTCATTGTGCTTTCTGGTTTTTGTCAGGCCATGATAAAATCTAAGGAAATCAAGAACGAACAACACGATTTGGGATAGGAACCGCCGTTGTCGTATTCCTAGAGAATGGTGGTAAACACGGACTCACCTGCCAAACTGGTTTGGATTGAGATTTTTATCGGGTATCAGGGAACCATGTGATTATAAATTAGACTTGATCAAAACGGGCCAAAACTTAAATTCAGCCTGTTTGACCGACCCATGCAAAATTCTAATTATTCGTTACTTTTAAACTTTCTATTTGAAAATAAAAAATAGTGAAAGAAAATAGATGACTGCAATTCGCCATTTGCACATCACTTATTCGGGAATAAAACCATAGAAATTCAAAAGAAATTGAAAATGTTTAGGATCGTTTTAATGTTTAAAATAACCAAATAGATCTTTCTGTTTAGTTTTTTACTAACAAATACCAAACGATTCCCTATAAAATACACTATGATTTTATCATTATGATATCAAATAATTATATAATATATATTTGAAATGATAAAAATTGGACTAATTGGGTTGGTCGAGATTGAACCATTGAATAATTTTAAACTACATTATATTTTAGCCACTAAAATATAAAATAATATAATAATATATATTATGCTAGAGAAAATAGCTTGTTTTAGAATGTCAAACCAATGATGTTCATTTGTTTTACTTGATGGCCAAATCCGGTGTAGGTCAGGCCCATTCAACTCTTTTATTTTATGGTTAGCGGTTAGCCCTTTAGATACCATGCATTAGTTTATTGTTAAATTTTTTTATTTTTAGCATAAAAAGAAGTATTGTTTTTGCCTTTTCATATATATTTTATCACCACGGAGAAATACAAGGGCTTAAAGAAAAAAATTGACACTCTTGAACCCGTTTAAATCGGCATGTGTACGGTAAGTTGGCCCGTTCCACAGAGGAAAGAGAAAAAAATTAACACTACCTATTCTACCCTTCATACAAACGCTCATGGAGCAAGGAATTTGAAATGGGGGGAAGGGGTTTTTCCTCCCTACTATTATATGTTTTTGATTTAAAAGGATACAACAAATGTACTTAGTGTGATTGGTTATGTTCCTTACTTTTCTTTAAAATGGACATGGTTCGAATCCCAGTACGTGTCTTTTTAATGAATAAAAAAAAGTAATTGTGAAGACCAAAATGTCCTTCCTACTTTTACTCTCGTTGCAGAAAATTTGAAATGGGGCTCCCGTTTTTCCCTTCGGTGTATTATATTATGGGTAGATTAGACCACGTCGTTGAGTGCTATAGATCATTCTCTCGCTTTTGCAGCCAAAGCACGGACAAAAGCAGCACCTTTACTTGTGCCCATAGACAGCGACGATGATGCGGCGGCCTTGCGTTTTGCCGACGATCATCCATAAAAACATTGTATCGTCGACAACTCGTATTTCTCCGGCGATCAGGTTTTACACCATTGCTACCCCAAACTGTTACAATGCGAAGATTCATGTTTTTTCTTTTGTCACTCGCCGGAGTAGCTCTCTCCACATGATCAAGCTCCTGCACATTCCGGCCCATGGCTCTAGCAATTCTCTCCACAAACCTATGGAAAATCAGCATAACAGGAGATGTTGAAAGATCAATTCAAGACTTGAACTCGTGATCACAAAAATAAATAAAAATAAGAACTAAGTGGATCGATGTCCGTTAGAGAAAATTATTATCATTATAGATGAAAAATGGATTTGATTTATGTATTTGTGGATTGAATTGGTAGATCAATGGATTGGTGGATTAATCCAAGAACTCAAATGAAATTCAAGTCTTAGACCAATATGTAAATTTTGAAAAATTTAGGTACTAAGTATACATATTTATATTAAAAATAAATTTTAGATATCAAAATACTAAATATAAAAAGTATAGATACTAAATCATAATTTACCATTTGAATCCATATTATACAAGAATGGATTGAAATTACCACCTCCAATCATCATCAAGTTTAATTTTATTGTCAGTTTTAAACCTTAGTGTTTTATATTTGTAATCTTCGGCACACAGTGCCAAACTTGACTATTTAAAATAATGCAAGTGAGAAGTTACTAGAGTTTTCCTTTTTCTTCAACATGCTTTATTATCACTTACTGGCTTGCAGGTGCCGGAACGACCCAACCGGCTATACCGGCGATCCAAGCAAGCGCCCGAATCCAGCCGTCGACTCTCTCGTAAGTAAACCTACGCTTGTGTCGATCCATGTCCTCCTCGTAGCAGCCGGAGACATCCTCCGGTGACAGATGGTAGAAGATCGGGATAGCCACGTGGCAGCCCACCACACCAGTAGTATTACAACACCTCATAATGGCGACGAGCTCGTCCAAGCACCACTCCGACGAGGCGTAGTTCCGTGACAGAACCACCACCGAGAACCTCGACCGCTCGATAGCGCGCGGAATCGCTTCCTTCAGATTCTCGCCGCGCGGCAGGTCGCGAGGGTCGTCATCGGCGAACGACGTGACGCCTTCTCTGCGGAGCGCGGGGCGGAGATGGGCCACGAACGTGTCTCGGACGTCGGAGCCCCGGAAGCTTATGAACACGTCGTGGCGCCACCGCCGGCGACGATGGTTGCTGCAGTTGTTACCACCCCGGCGGGCAGTGTTGGATTTTGGCTGCTGCAGCATATTGCATGCACATATAGTAGCTTGATTACTGCAGCGCACAGAAGGCTGTGTCCGATCGAGGTGTTGTGGATTTGAAATTTCGAGTATATATAGAGAGAGAAAGAGAATAAGAGGTCTCGCTAGCGAGATCTAGAGAGAGAGGGATACGTACGGTTTATCTTATCCTAACTAAATTGCTAAAATATGACTCTCCGACCGTCCACAGTCGTCCTAAGAGCACCACCGTTGCGTATTTGAAATTTCGTGGCATTGGGCTTAAGCACCTGTATGAATGTAGGACTTTCTTTCTTATTTAGAAATGTTGCCAAATAAGCAATTTCTTCTTGGGATTAGGATCCACGTGTTTCATTTATGCACCCAATTTTTTTTTTCTGTCTACCTTTTTTTTATTTACATTTTACACGTGAATGGCTAAACTTAATAAGTCTTGCAGTTGTAATTATTTAAGTTGTTAATAAATTAAAAATCATAAATTATATTTTAATTATATCGATTTGGATAATGTGAAAACTAATACAAAGATGTATAGTTATTGATTGAAGATTCATTCACAAAGCTAGAAAGAAATCATACACGGTTCATATACATCGACATATTAAATCGCTCTCCAGTTTCCCATGAAGTGTTAGAAGGGAGAGCAACAAAAGCTAACTATTACGTCAATGAAAACAAATTACAACTTGGGCTCCTACCTCACTGGTGGAATCTATCCAAGCTGTGCAACCTTTCTTAAGTCAATCTTGTTGCCACAAAAGATTCTGAGAGAGCATTAAGGGTGTTGCAATCACGATTCGCCATCATTAGTAAACCAACACATGTATGGTGCAAGAAGACAATCAATCGGGAAAATAATGATAGCATGTGTAGTAAATAGTAATGCACAACATCTACAAAATACATAGAGGCAAAACATGGGTTGGAATTCTCCTATTTCAAATTTCATGGACTGAGAGTGATTCTATGAAGGTCATTTTTGTCATTGCACCCAGTTCATGTTCATATATTAAAAATGTTATCATTGGAGTTTGAATCTTGGTCACTTGAATGAGGAAAGAGCATTGTAACCAACCAACCTACATTTTATTTATTGTTATTTCTTTTATTGAACTCTAGGAATATGTTTGGTGATGATGCTTCTATATTTATATTTTATCTTAAGTTATTTATATTTTATAGAAAGATATTAGTTTGGAAATTGGACCTCAAGTAGTATTGATTCAAACATTAATATTAAATTGTATGTGTTGTTTAGTTCAGACAAAATACAGAAGTGTAATAAAAACATGGACCTTTGTAAGAGTGGGTCGACCCGCCCCGCCCCGTACCCGCGCGGATTTTACCCGCCCCGACTCGTAGTAGCATGGGACGGGGCATGGGAATTGAGGTACCCGCTCCGCCCCGCCCCATTGCCATAACTACCCATCATATCTAGGGGTAATTACCCACGAGGTAGGTAGGCGGCTGGTGGGGCGAAATTTTGGCTAAGTATGATAGGGTGCCCACTTGGGTGGTTGATGTTGAAGGGTGTCAACACGCTTGACACTTGACCCCTCTTGTGTGACGGATGGGTGTTTTGTGGGTCAAGTAGTGTGTGTTGAGGTACCTGGTATGAAGCCCAAAATACCGTCATTTAGGCCCAGGTTAAACCAATTTAATTAATATGGTTAAGTTGGCCTTATAAATCACTACCACTCCTTGAAAATAATCAATGTGATATTGAGTGATTTTTTAGTGGTAAACAGCTATATATAATTCTCCTAGATCGTTGACCAATAGCTAGCTAGCTAGTCGTGTTTATAAAATTAACATATTGAACAGGGATAATTCTCTAAATACACATACAAGTAAAACAAATTCCTAAACTACTACATTTATAAAAAAAAATTCCCAAAATACCAAAGTTTGGAGTGGTTTGAGTTTGAGGAACTTGAACTACTAACCGGTTCAAGTGTAGTAGACTCTTCTAGTCGTAGGTCGATGATATAAGCCTCGAACCTCATTCGAAATTTTCCACAATCTTAACTTTTGTTCGATTATCCGATCGTAGCAAACTTTTCTTTTCATTTCGCATAACTTTTCGAGGACTACAAATTTTATAATAGAAATATTTTCAGAATATATGTGAAAATGTGAAAATTAAAGATAAATTTACTCCAAAACCCCTTATATTTAAAAATATTCCTATTTTGAAAATTTATTCCTAGTAAATGTTGTAGTACTCAAAAAATTATGCAAAATAAAAAAAAACTTTGCGACGTTCGAATTGCGGAGCACAAAGTTATGATCCTCTAAAGTTTGACAAAATCGAAAAATTGCTCGTTTAGGGGTAACAAATGACGCTTTCTTGAAGCGAAGGTATGGGAAAATTTTTTATATATAGGGAATTCCTGCCAAAAGAGAAATATTTTTCCAAACGATAAATTTTTGGATGGCTATCTTCCGAGAAAACGTCATTTGCTACCCATAAACGAGCAAATTTCTGAATTTTTCAAACTTTGGAGGATCATAACTTTGTGCTCCGCAATCCGAACGTCCCAAAAAAATTTATTTATCTTGCATAACTTTTTGAGTACTACAACATTTACAAGGAATAAATTTTCAAAATAGGAATATTTTTAAATATAAGGGGGTTTGGAGTAAATTTATCTTTAATTTTCACATTTTCACATATATTCTGAAAATATTTCTATTATGAAAGTTGTAGTCCTCGAAAAGTTATGCAAAATGAAAACAAGTTTGCTACGATCGGATAACCGAGCACAAAGTTAAGGTTGTTGGAAATTTCAAAGGAGTGGTTCGAGTTTACTGAACTCGAACCACTTCAGCCCCACATGGTTCGAGGCTTATATAATCGATCTACGACTAGATCGAGTCTCCTACACTCGAACCGGTTAGTAGTTCGAGTTTCTCAAACTCGAACCACTCCAAACTTAGATATTTTGGGAATTTTTTTTATAAGTATGGTAGTTTAGGAATTTATTTTACTTTTATATGTATTTATGAAATTATTCCTATTGAACATGCAAATCCATGATGCGTTACAGCTGGCATAGACTCTTTTTGCGAATTGTAATATTTTGCAGCCGTACTAACGATTTTGATTAAAACTTAATTAAATCAGCTTCACCTACCGGCCGCTTGCAGCTGCCGGAACGACCCAGCCGGCGATACCGACGATCCATGCAAGCGCCCGGAGCCAGCCGTTGACTCTCTCATAAGTAAACGTACGCTTGTGCCGATCCAAGTCCTCCTTGTAGCAGCCGGAGACAGGTGGTAGAAGATTGGGATAGCCACGTGGCCGGCGCGGCTGCTACTGCAGCACAAAATGGTGACGAGCTCGTCCAAGCACCATTCCGACGAGGCGTAGTTTAAGAAGAAAGTGAAAAACGGCTAGGGTTTGGTGAAGAGAGCTCAAAAGCTTGAGATCTTCTTTTCTGGATTGCCCATATATATATTTACAGAGATACATTAAGGAAAGTAAAGCAACGGCTAACAAACAGTAAATGTTAACTAACTAATTAAACTACCCACTCCTAGTTAGGCACGTGTTCTCAATCAACTAATTACACTGTTTGTTCTGGCCTAGCTAAAGGTCGTCGTCCTTCTTATCTCCATTGCGAACAGACCAAGGGAAACGGCAGCGTTCTGGACTCGCTCTTTTGCTGAGATTAGAACGCCACCGTTTCGTTCTTATATATACATCAATGATCTGGGAGTGTTCTTCCTTGTTCTTCACAGCAGCAGCTCCTTGTTCTTCAGGGCATTGCTTCTGCAGGCTGCTACTACTCCATCTGGATTGGTCATGATCTCCATTACGCCCCCACAAGCTGGCGAGTATCGTCCTGATACTCCCAGCTTGCTCATGAGAAAGTTGAACCTGTCAATGCCCAGGCTCTTGGTAAAAACATCTGCTAATTGATAATTAGTGGAAACATGATGTAAATCGATCAAACCACTTTCTAAGCGCTCCCTGATCACATGACAGTCGACCTCTATATGTTTGGTTCTCTCATGGAACACTGGGTTCCTTGCAATGTGTATTGCAGACTGACTGTCACAGTAAACAATAGCTGGGTGTGAATGAGTGATTCCAAAGTCAGAGAGCAGCCTTACTAGCCATTGGATTTCACAACTCAGGAGTGCCAATGCTCTGTATTCAGCTTCTGATGATGATCTTGAGACTGTGCTCTGCTTCTTTGCCTTCCAACTTATCAGGCTAGTTCCCAAAAATACACAAAAACCTGTTAAGGATCTCCTTGTGTCAGGACAGGTGGCCCAATCTGAGTCACTATATCCTGTTAATTGAATTGCTGCTTTGCTGGAATAGAACACACCCTGTCCTGGTGAGTTCTTTAGATATCTGAAAACCCTGTGCAGTGCCTTGAGATGCACAGTTGTAGGAGAGTCCTGGAATTGACACAACTGTTGTACTGCAAATGTGATATCTGGTCTTGTGCTGTTTAGATATTGTAACTGTCCAAGTAGATGTTTGAAGTTCTGGATGTTCAAGTATGGCTCACCATCTGCTGCAGAAAGAACTTGCTTCACACTAGATGGTGTCTTGGCTGGTTTGCACTCATCAAAACCAGCCTCCTTTAATAATTCTATGCAATATTTCCTCTGTGAAACATGTATTCCTGCTGCTGTTCTGTTGATTTCTAATCCCAGGAAGTACTTCATTTCACCCAGATCCTTCATTTTGAATAGTGATCCCAACAACTTCTTCACTAAATTGACAGCTTCAAGATTTGGACTGCTTACCAGTATATCATCCACATATACAATCACAACCACAAGGTTTCCTGTAATCTCAGTAAGAAAGATTGAATAATTAGACTTTGACTGTTTGAAGCCTTTGGCAAGTAAGGATTCTGTCAACTTGGCATACCACATCCTACTTGCTTGTTTCAAACCATAAAGTGATTTCTTAAGTTTGCAAACCTTCCCTTTGTACTCTGGCTTCTCCCTCAAACCTTCAGGTAGTTCCATGTAAACAACCTCTTCTAAATCACCATTAAGAAAAGCATTACTAACATCCATTTGGTGCAAATGCCAATTCTGGATGGAGGCAATTGCTAGCAGCATTTTCACTGAGGTTAGTTTAGCCACTGGAGAAAAAGTGTCACAGTAATCTATTCCATAGATTTGAGTGTACCCTTTTGCCACAACTCTTGCTTTGAACCTTTCAATGACTCCACTGGGCAGAAATTTAACTTTGTACACCCATTTGTTACCAATTGACTTCACTCCCTCGGGTAAGCCAGTGATCTCCCAAGTATTGTTCTCATAAAGTGCTTTGATCTCATCTGTCATTGCTGCATTCCATCTAGGGTCAAGTGCTGCTTCAGCATAAGAGGATGGCTTAACAACAGCAGCAATTGTGAGTGCAAAATGCTGCCGGTGAGGAGTAAGATGCAGCAAATCAAGGGGTACTGACTTGGGAGAGTCATTGACTTGCATGCTACCAACATAAAAGTCATTAAACTTCTTTGGAAACACACTTTGCCTAGTGGACTTCCTAAGTTGCTCTACTGGTGGTGATAAATGGTGAGAAGAAGAAGGGGTATAATGTGGTGATGGAGACCTTGGAACAGATCTGGATGCAGATCTAGAAGGTGATGCAGCAGGTGAAACAACTGGTGAAGGTGATGTGTGAGGGGTAGATGTAGCAGGTGGAGAAGATAACCCTGCTAACTCAGGCTCAACAAAGGGTAGAGGTTCAGGACGAATTGAATCCTCTGAACTTGGAGAAGACATGGGAACAGGAAAGAGATCAGTAGTACTCTCAGCTGTTCCAGAATCTGGAAGGGAGTTGGGATGCCTATAAGGCAAGATATCCTCATAGAAAATAACATCCCTATTGACAAATACTCTCTTAGTATTGATGTCAAGAAGCTTAAAACCTTTAATACCAGTTGGTAAACCCAGGAAAACACATTGATTAGCTCTAGGGTCAAACTTATGTTTATGGCCTTCTACCACTGTTGCATAGGCCAAACAACCAAAAACCTTTAAACTCATGTAATCTGGGGGCACTTTGTGTAACATTTCAAAAGGGGTTTTGTGGTTTAAGACAGGAGTTGGTGTTCTGTTTATGAGGTAGGCAGCATGGAGGACAAAGTCACTCCAGTAAGACAATGGTAGACCAGATTGGAGTTTCAGGGATCTGGCCACATTCGAAAGGTGTTGGTGTTTGCGTTCTACCCTACCATTTTGCTGTGCTGTGTAAACACAGCTCATCTCATGGACAATACCATGAGTGCTGTAGAATTCTGGCATGTGAAACTCTTTGCCTTGATCTGATCTGATGGTTTTAATGGGAACATTGAACTGTGTGTGGACCATAGTGCAAAAAGATTGTAAGACAGGTCTGGCTTCTGCCTTGGATTTTAAAAGGAAAACCCACACAGCCCTACTGTAATCATCAACTAAAGTAAGAAAGTAAGAATAACCATCTCTTGAAATGCAATTAAGTGGCCCCCAAATATCTGTGTGAATGAGTTCAAACATTTGACAAGAAACAGAACTACTAAGAGGGAAAGGAAGCCTCTTTTGTTTAGCCAAATGACAAACTTCACAGTGCTGTGTCAAAGGTAAAACAACATCATTACATGTTTGCTTAATCTCTTTCATTCTAGACAAAGAAGGGTGTCCTAATCTGGCATGCCAGATATTGAAATCTTGACTGTGAAAATTGAAAACTCCTGCTGCAAAACTTTGTTGGTCTCTATGGGTGGCAAATTCCTGACCTTTGGACTCTGTAAACAGGTAAAGACCTCTATCCACTTGGGCTAAACCAATCCTCCTCCGAGTAATAAGGTCCTGAATGACACAAAAATTGGATTTAAAAACTAAGGAAACTGGATGATTGGTGGTAAGTTTACTTACAGAAACCAAGTTGTAAGTAAAGGAAGGAACAAAAAGAACTTGAGTGAGAAAGAGTCCACAAGGTAAAGTAATGATTCCAATGTAAGTTGCTTGAACTCTTTGCCCATTTGGCAGGCTAATGTAAACCTTGTCAATAGGTTTACTTTTGATGAAGAAACTCTTATCACAAGTTATGTGATATGTGGCTCCAGTATCCAAAATCCAAACTCTTCTATGAAGAAATTCTGAGTTACTAGGTAAAGTCTTGTTACCTGAAGAACTTGCAGCAAAGTGTGAAGCAGGAGGTGTGGATCTTGTGATCAAATTTGCAGCTGGCTGATTCACAGAAGGAGCCCTCATCACCATAGCAGCATTGTGTTGCACATGTGGGGAGCTTGGTGGTGAGGGTGAAGGAGATGGTGACTTTATCAGCATGGCCCTCAGTTTATCAAGCTGATCTGCTGTTAAAAGTGTTGAAAGGTTCACTTCTCCCTCTGATCTCCCTCCTGAACCTGTATTAGATCCTCCTGTGTCACTCAAATGGCTGTCAACAGAACCAGCAAAAGGTACTCCTTCCTCTCTAGACTGCTTATTCTTCAGTCTATAACACTCTTGAATAGTGTGGTTCTCCTTCTTGCAGTACCTACACCATTTCTTTCCCTCAGTTGTGTAGTCTCTTGGATTCCTTGATCCTTGACCCTTTGGCTGCTTTGACTGGTTTCCAGCTGCCAGCAAAGCAATTGATTCCACTCTTCCTTTGTTTGGGTTTAACCCTTTCATCTGTCTCTCCAGTTGTACCATCTGTTTGAACACAGATTCAATGCTAGGAAGCTGTGCATTCATGAGAACCTGTGTTCTTGCTGCTTGGTAAGTGTCATTAAGTCCTTGCATAAACTTAACGATCAGATCTTCTTCATGGTACTTCTGGATTGTGTAGTATGGGCTATTAGGACAAGGGCAACAAGGAATGGGTCTATGCATGTTATACTCCTGCCACTTTGTGGTTAAGGCTGTATAATACTGTGTCACACTTTGATCTCCCTGCACCAGTTTTGACACCTGTTCTTTCAATTCATATACTCTGATGAAATCAGCCTGACTAAACCTTTCCTTCAGATTATCCCAAACATCTTTAGCAACCCTATAGGGCACTACACTGTTTGCAATGTCATCTGACAAAGAGTTGTAGATCCAGCATCTAACTGTGCTATCGCACCTATGCCAAGATGGCCAAATGGGATCTCCTACTTCAGGAACTGGTATCATTCCATTCACGAATTGAAGTTTGTTCTTGGTGTTGAGAGCCAGTTCCATTACCCGACTCCATAAGTTGTAGTTCTGATCTGTGAGCTTCATTGTGATGATGGTGGTCAGACCTCCATCATGTGCTGGAAGGTAGTAAGGGTTCAGGTATGGATCTTCATACCTCGGCACCATAGATTGTTGATTTCCCTGTTGGGTATTGTTGTTCTCTGAGGCGGTCTCATCTCCCTGACCTCCTGCAGATCCAGTAGCTTGAGTGGACATTGCAAAGAATGTAGAAGGCTAGGTGGTAATTCTAGCAAATTGGAAGCAAAACGAGCACTGGTTATGGGTAACCAGGCTCTGATACCATAAGAAGAAAGTGAAAAACGGCTAGGGTTTGGTGAAGAGAGCTCAAAAGCTTGAGATCTTCTTTTCTGGATTGCCCATATATATATGTACAGAGATACATTAAGGAAAGTAAAGCAACGGCTAACAAACAGTAAATGTTAACTAACTAATTAAACTACCCACTCCTAGCTAGCCACGTGTTCTCAATCAACTAATTACACTGTTTGTTCTGGCCTAGCTAAACGTCGTCGTCCTTCTTATCTCCATTGCGAACAGACCAAGGGAAACGACAGCGTTCTGGACTCGCTCTTTTGCTGAGATTAGAACGCCACCGTTTCGTTCTTATATATACATCAATGATCTGGGAGTGTTCTTCCTTGTTCTTCACAGCAGCAGCTCCTTGTTCTTCAGGGCATTGCTTCTGCAGGCTGCTGCTACTCCATCTGGATTGGTCATGTTCTCCATTATAGTTGGGGGAGAGAACGACGACCGAGAGCCTCGCCCGCTCGATCGCATGTTTGATCGCTTCCTTCAAATTCTCGCCACGTGGCAGGTCGCGGGAGTCGTCGTCGGCGAACGACGTGACGCCTTCTCTGCAGAGGGCCCGGCGGAGATCGGACACGAAAGTGTGCCGGACGTCGGAGCCCTTGAAGCTTATGAACACGTCGTGGCGGCTGCTGCCGGCGGCGGTAGGGAGCTTGTCGTCATGGCCTGCTGCTGCATATCGTGGAGAGAGAGAGCCGGAAGGCTAGAGAACTCGGTCAAGTATAGACAACTAGACAAGCAACATTCGGTAATTAAGGAAATGTGTATATATAATATAAAGTAGATATGGAGAGAGAGAAAAAAGTTTAGTTATAGGGTTATAGGTATAATATGCTCATCTATTGTGCAGTTTTATCAAACATACTTCTCTACTATTTTTTACATCAAACATGCCTCTGTATTTTGTAAAAATGATCAAACATGCTCTTTTGTTAAAATTTGCATAAAAAAACATCAACTATGGTCAAAACTTGGTTTGGGCGACACCTATGTCTAAAATATTCCTAATAATTTCACTTTACAATTGTTTTGTTATTTTTGTATAGCCAAATTCCTCTAATAATTTCACTTTAATGAGAAGGAAAAAATGACATTTCACCCTAATTTTTCCGATGTCGGGTCGTGTGATTCTCAGTTCAATCATGGTTGACCATTTTTAATGGAAATTTTAACATAAGAGCATGTTTGATCGTTTTTACAAAATATAGGAAGTTATCACCAACCCTTGACATCCCCTCTAATCCATAAAATCTTGGCTCTATCCGCCATTCCCTAGCCTGACATAAACACATCAATTCACCATTTTTTACTACTCTCATACAACCGAAGCAGCAGTATGCAAAAGCTTCCTGTCAAAAAATTGTCTGACATAGGAAAATAAATTTTTCTGGGTGAATGGTACCAGATAAAAATATTTAGATACATCATAGATCCCACTAAATAATGAATGTAAGTCTAAACAAATACTGTATGTATGTATTGAAACATAACGAAAATGGAAAAAAACTTAATATCACTTTATTCTACTCGAGATATTTATAGAAGAACAATGGTTGTTGCTGTTGCGGATCATCGAAAGGAGAGTTCATTGCATCCTGTAAAATTAATTAAGATAACAATAATATTAACATTAGTAACATTTTAATGAAATCAAATAAAATAGATAAAAGGACTAAATTAATTAAGATAACAATAATATTAACGTTAGTAACATTTTAATGAAATCAAATAAATAGATAAAAGGACTAACTTCGTGCCTGTAGCAATTGTGTATATGATATATTGTTCAAACAAATTGTAGAATCCAATTTCTCTCCTGGTGGACTAATAGTTGAACTTTGAGACTCATGTTCCATCTAAAATTTAAAACACTTGTTAGATATACAATTATTAGGATATGTTCACCTATAGTCCATTCAGTTGATCGCATTTAGAGTACTTCGAAATATAAAGACAAAGTAAAACCTGATAATTTTGGATCTGCAATTCAGTTTTGCTTCTAGCAGCTTGTTAAGAACAATTAGTTTTCTGCTTCTTACCCTGTACACGGCTCCGTTACCTCTCTCCCCAACCTAAACTAATTGACGATCACATTTAATAATTGGAAGAAAAAAAAACTGAACCAGTAACAGGCAGACATGTGGACAGGTAGCAGCTATTGGCTGCATCCTGAGATTAGGGGTGAACAAACTCACCCGCAAACCGATCCACCCGTCCAACCCGACCCAACCCACCCGTATTTATCGCTAAAACGAAGGTTTTGGGTTGGATGAGGATTTTCTTTTGTACAACCCGCCTCTTTTGGGTTGGGTTTGGATTTTGGATTACACAACCCGTAGAACCCGACCCAACCCGTGTTCCAATTATTGGTATGAGTTCGTATCCAAACAAAATATTTATGTCGTATATAGTCATACTTATAAGAAAATTAAGATATTTCGTCATGTTTTTCTCTTAAGGTCCTCCTAATCTAATGCATTCTTCGGCTCAAAGTTTAGACATAAATTTAATATAGTTATGATTTACATAATTCTTTTTCATGTGTACAATTTTAATAGAACAACATATTATGGATGCGTTCATCTGTAACCTTTTTAGCCTATTTCAACAAATGTCGGGAAAAAAAATAGACATAAGTTGAAGTAAATCAAATTTTATTAAAATTAAAACAACATTTGTGAATTTTGATACCTTTCACCTCGGTTTATTCTTTTGAATTTTTAATTAGTTATAAAATATTTTTATGGTGTAGAATAATTACATATTTTGTGTTGGGTTGGGTTTTTATTTAAAAATATCGCCAACCCGACCCAACCCAATTAGAAACAAACCGTAGGGTTTAGATTTTTTTGGGTTGGTTTGGGTTTAATATTTCCCAAACCGTAGTGCATGGGTCGGGTGATTAAAATGTCTAAACCCGAACCACCCGACCCATGTACACCCCTACATGAGATGCTGCTACTATGTTTGGGAAGGGGTGTAAATGGAAGGGGGTGCAAGTTTGGAGGGGTAAACACAAGTTCCAAGGTGTTTACCCCCGTTTGGTTATTTTGTAACAGTAGGGGGGTGCAAAACGTGATCGTAAATTCACGGTTTCGGCTTACCCCCCAAATTGGGGTGCAAGGGAAGGAAGGAAGGAAGGGAGGGGGAAGGGGGAGGAGGGGAATTATGCATTTTTAATTAGATTATAATTACATAATAATTAATATTATTAATTTTTTCTTATATCTATATTAGTGTAGAAGTTGTTTGGGGTTGACCGTTTGACTCAGAGAGCAAGTTTGTCAATGTTCGCCTCGTCAAATCGATATCTCTTAGTTGACCCGAATTTGCATTGAAAAATTAGAGATAAGAAACATTTGTTGAAAAGATAGAGAGGAACAGTTTAGTTAACTCGATTTACTTTAATAAGTAGTTAAAACTTACAGATTCGAACGTGTTTGACTAAGTTTGACCATATTCAATTTAAAGTTAGGCACGAGAACCCCCTTAGGATGACCAGTTACGAGTTGGATTTCGAGTTTCGAGGTTGCTCGACCAATGATTATTATTGTTGTTATAAATAATTATATTTGAGCATTATTATATAATAATTATTTTTATTAAAATTATTTTTATTTATTATTTTTATTATTATATATTGAATTTTCATGTTATTATTTTGTGATAATATTTTATAAATTGATAAATCTATTTTATAATAATATAATTACTTACTTTTTACTCTATTTGCACCCCTACTTTTTCATCCAAACAACAATTTACCCCTCCACTTACACCCTCCACCAAGTTGCACCCCCAACAATTTACCCCTCAACTTGCACCCCTTGTTGCCAAACATAGTGTAAGTTTTTCCCATGTTCAAAATTGCAATTCTAATAGTTATAATTCTATTTTTAATAAAACATCCCATAATCGAAAGGCCATAAAGATGACGTAATGAGGCACTGTCAGTCAAAGCAATGTCTCCATTCATGCTGCCTACTGCCTAGTGTGAACGAGAATTATAAAAAAAATATATATATATATATGCAATATATAATCGTTAATAATGCTCAGATGTTCGTCCCAGTCCCCATTTCCGCTCCCCGAGCTGCTTTGTTGTCTATTCTGAATATTACAGTCTTTTAGTCCACCAACTACTGGCCGAGGAACATTCTCATATAGCATAACTTCCATCATACATGTGTTCACTTTATTATTGCATTAACAGCTTAACTATATGCATTCAATCCAAGTCTCGTTGCAGTATACATTACACCTCACAAAATCATGAGCTAATCACCCTCATTGATCATCTCAATAGCTGACTATGTTCAACATGTAAAGCTTTCTCAGAGATCAATGTACACCTTACTTTACTCACTTTGATGTGGAATGTAGGACTCTGAGGATTACTGAAGAACTAGTGGGAGCTACTGAACCAAAAAAAGGCGGGTACCAAACAGTGGAAGAAGGAGAGATGGGGCAAAAAAACAACTGCAACCTAAGCAATGTTGGTTAAAATTCTATAATTGAGTATTATGGGGTTCTTTACTTTTTTTGGGGGGGAATCTCAGTCACGCCCTGACCTCTTTGTTTGCCGCCTTCTTATCAGCGCCAGTGTTCCCATCATCCATCAACTGTCCGGAAGGTTGTGCCTCCGTCGCCATCTGCATTTCCTTCCTCTTCTCTGCCACCAGTTTAGGACACATAAAGCTTGGCTGATTTGTTGATGACAGAAGCCTAGCCCACATTCTGTCTGTTATCACCACCTTGTTCTGTGTCTCGATGATTCTCTGGTCAAAGAAAATAGCAGGCCTTAGTTAGGGGTGTCACTTGGCAGCCATACTGTGGAGGTGGAGCTGACAGAATACACGTAGCTTTGGTTTGCAGGTTCTGCAGTTTTTTACATATGTTCTATCTCTGTTTGCATATGAAGATGTGATGATGGCAGCATATTTTACATGGCTATCACCTAGATATGGAGAACCTTAAGAAAGCTATAGTGACTATTAGGGCATCAACTTACGTAGAAAGGTATGTATGTTTGCCGGCCATTTACAAGACCAGATGTATAGCCTGTGTACCCAGCCATTGCTCCATGAACACAACTCTGAGCGAGTAGTGTACAGTAAACATTGTCAGATGCATTGCTTGGAATAGCACGAATCATGTAAGTGGGATCTGTTCAAACAAAACAAATTTCAGTTTAGTTATCCATTGTCAAAAATTCAACTCAAGGTACAAATATACTAGCTTCCATGAAGTCCAACCTATATACTAGCTTGGCTGATTTGTTCATGAGAGTTGCTGCAATTTACCACAGCCAAATCAACCAAGCACTTCCCAACTGCCCCTGCAAAGCTTATAGTACTAAAGCTACTTCGACTACATTCACTTCCTCTTGAGATGGTGATGTGGAATTGTTCTGAAGCCTAGCTTTGTTAAATATAAACACTTCTTGGTCTATAGCTGGAAGCTTGTAACTCGAGAGTGGCAGTTGGGGTTCTAATTTCATATGCAAACACAGAACAAACTGATCATTCAAGCTGACCCTAGAATAAGATTCAACATACCACTTAATTGCTTTCACTGGGGTGGTTTCATCACAATCGAGCTCAATGAATGACCAACAGCTTCCCTTGTTGGACCACAGCTTCTGTGATGTTGAACTCATCTTCTCCCAACTCTCTCTCCACGCAAATCAGGCTTCAATCCTCTGAAATCAACCGAACAAAGCAGAAACCCAGTAGCGATTGAATTGATGGAAGCACAGTTGTCATCGACCACCCATGAGATGCAGCAAATACTGCATTATACTCGTCTGTTCATCGATGAACCGTTCTTCTTAGCAGTAGCCTTGGTGACCTTGGCACCAGGTGGGTCCTTCTTCTCCACAGCCTTGATCACACCAACGGCAACAGTCTGCCTCATGTCCCTTGACAGCAAACCTTCCAAGAAACGGGTAAGAATGTCTCCACAACCGAATCATTTTCACGAACCCAGTACCAAATAACACTTTAATAAAGAACAGGCTCCGCTGGCTCCCAAAAGCCTCCGTCCTCCGACATAGACTATGGCGTCGATTGGGACTTCTTTGCTACACTTGATACCCAATCCGGCGTAGCCGTTTCCATCGCTGACGACAAAGAAGGCCTTGAATCGGGTTCGCAATCCGGCGCGGGTCTGAATCTGAATGGGGCTAATCGTCGTGACCAGGTCTTTCAGGACGTCGGGGCCGACGAGGGCGTCTATTATCTGGTACTCCTTGATGGGAAGCGAGTGGAGGTAGATTTGCTCCAAGCTGCGAATCACCGGACAGACGAGCTTGATCATCGGAACCCACTTCTCCTCCTCGCGACAACCACCATGACGACGACCCTTTCCTCGGTTGCCTGCTCGTCCCCCGAATCCACGGCGGCCTCTCTCGCTACCAGCTCTGTCGGCGTCACCTCTGTCAGCCATGGTTTGCCTCTCTTTGCTATTCACACTCTCTACCTCTGTTTCACCAATGGTTTACTCGCTTCTCAATCCCTATTTCTTGTTCACTTATCACCGCCTCCCTCGCCAATAATCTCATTGAACTTCACTCTCAACATCTAATATTCCTGCTCCTACTCTCCCCATTTCTCACACACAAAGGCTGGCGGTGGCTGTGGCGGCCACCGCCACCGGAACACGGAATCACTTTAGAGTTTTTCCTATGAGGCTCTGATACCACTATGTTAAACAGAATAGAAGGAAAAACTTAATCTGATTATCCAGTGATCAACGTAGAGGTTAAATACATCAAGTATAACTAATAGAAGCTAAAAACCAGGAGCTGTTAACAGCAACAGTCCTTAAAACAAGTAACAACTTAAACACTACTTGTCTTCTTGATTCAACACAAACTATATAGTTGTTTCTTTGCTAAAAAAAATAGTATGTTATTTTCTTTTAACGGTAAATAGATGGAATTTAGACGGATGCACTCTGTCACTTTATTTTTATTCAAGTGACATGTCTTTCCCAATTCTGATATTTTACTGGTACTTTATTCTTATTCACCTACTGGCATGCAGCTGCCGGAAAGACCCAACCGGATATGCCGGCGATCCAAGCAAGCGCACGAAGCCAGCCGTCGACTCTCTCATATGTATGCCGACGCTTGTGCCGATCCAAGTCCTCCTTGTAGCAGCCGGAGACCTCCTCCGGGGACAGATGGTAGAAGATCGGGATAGCCACGTGGCCGGCGCGACTAGTGCTAGTGCAACACCTCATAATGTGGACCAGCTCGTCCAAACACCATTTCGACGAGGCGTAGTTAGGGGAGAGAACGACGACCGAGAGCCTCGACCGCTCGATCGCACGTGAAATCGCTTCCTTCAGATTCTCGCCGCGTGGCAGGTCGCGAGAGTCGTCATCGGCGAACGACGTGACGCCTTCTCTGCGGAGGGCCGCGCGGAGGCGAGACACGAACGTGTGTCGGACGTCGGAGCCCCTGAAGCTTATGAACACGTCGTGGCGCCACCGCCGGCGATGGTTGACGTTGCTGCAGTTGTGCATATTGCAGTAAACAAGAGACATATGTAGTAGTGCCTAGAGATCTAGAGATAGGCTGGCCTATTTAACTGCTGAGGCGTAATACGAGCCACGCCTGATGTCATCACGATGTCACTCACTCACTCACTTTTTTTTTTTTTTTTTATGGGCACTCACTCACTCTTTCCTTGTCCCTTGATCCCTTTCTCTGCTTCGTGCTTCCTTGACGCGCGTTACCTTGACTTTCCCCGAACAATCCGCTTTACTATGAATCTTACAATCTTTGTGTTACACCCCGACCTTTGGGTTCAGGTTCGACCATAATACGTGAGCGGTTAGATCGACGGTTACGTACGGAGGGTTACAATCATGAGTTAATTTATAATAATAATAATATAAATTATATTATTATTATTAATTAAAAAAAAAAAAAGATAATCGGCCAAGAGGGCCGAGCCGCCCTCAACTTTTCACCAACCCCACCGTTACCACTCCCACCATTTATTTCTTTTCCCAAGCACTAGCCGCCAACAACCCTTTGTCTTCTCCCCATCATTTAAACCCAGCCGAAGAAAGTAAGAAGAAGGAGAGGAAGGAAGAAAGAAAGAAGTTGTGGTCGTCGTCTCTCCGAGGGACCAGCAAAAACAACCATCACGCAACACCACCTCCGCGAGCCTCTCCTCTCCGTGGCCGGATCAGACGCACCAACCAGTAGCAGCCAGCCAACCCTCCCCTCCAAAACAGCCGCCATTTCCGAGCAGCAAGAAGCAGAAATCCAAGAAGAAGAAGAAGAAAAAAAAAGAGAGGGAATAGAAGAAGAGGAAAGAAAGGATTCTGGGCATTGGTATTTGCTCGGTAGAGGATCATGAATCGTTCCATGGAGTCGAATTTGCGTTTGGAGGTCTGGAGATGCCTCGTCGGAGCTTCGTCGGAGCTTCATCGGCGTCTCGCCGGAGTTCGCCGGATTCTGGAAAATTTTCAAGTTCGACCAAACTTCAAAAGGTGGATACGGTCGTGTAGAGGGCAATCTCAGGAGCGTCACGGTGTCGACGAAATCAAATTCGGACGTCGGATGAGGGAGAACCGAGCCTCCCAAATTTGAGCAAAAATCTGCCACGTACAGGTACCATTCGTGGGAATTCGAAAAGTTAGAGGATTAAGTGTGTAATTTTCCAGAGAGGTCGGAGTCAACTGTGTTGACTGGAAAAATTGCAATTTCGGTACCTAGTACTTTTAAACTGACAGAATGTTTATTTTGGTCGTAACTCGATCAATTGACGTCCGATCGAGGAACCGTCAGCGCCTATGGAATCGTGATAACGAGGAGAATTTAATTGGAGCAAGTATGGAAACTTTAGAGCAGATTCAGAGTTGGTTTCGACGGATGAGAGGTGAGTGTAAAGGGGGTAAATTCTACGCCTTACGATTTTCAAGTATTTTTCTTGAGTATTTTCGAGTATTGGTTTACGGGATGTATGTGCAGTATTTGATTCATGTTTGAGATTGCATGATTATTGTTGATGATGTGTGATTTTGTTTGAGCTATGTTTGATGTGAAGGTGGTTGAGTTATTATTTTAATTGAAAGCTTTACGAGTATAAGTTATTGTTAAAGAGTAAGAAACAAGTTCTTTTTAAGAAGTAACTCACCTTCAAGAAGGTGAAGTCATTTTAAGTGTTTTAGTCACTAGCGCCAGTCCGTTGCCTTTTGAGACAGTTTGAGATGGGCAGCAGTTATGCCCTTGAGAATCGTGGTGAAGAGCCACCACGATAAGTTTAAGATGTTAGGGGGATGAATCGTTACGACTTCCCTAACTAAGTTTAAGTTTAAGGAAAGCCTAGGTGGCTTCTCATACGTATGAGTTGGCAACCGGACTAGCTAGTGAGGGATCCCTGTGTCAGTCAAGTATTTTAAGTCAAGCTTTGAGATTTAAGAGTGGAGTAACAGTGACTCCCTTACAGTTTTAAGAGTTAAGCTTTTTAATAGTGGAAGTACAAAACAACTTCCACTCAGTTAAGTAAAGTGATCAAGTATTAATAAGAGGTTTAAACGTAAGGGCGTAGACTGACCCCATCTCACTCACCAGTTTGAAGAGCTAGAGGAAGAGCTAGAGGAGCATTTACTGAGCAGCGCTTTCGAGGGCAGCCAGCTAAAGGGGAGAAGTATAAGCATCACGGAGGATGCTTAGTCAAGGTTTGCAGTAGCAACAGCTTCAGAGTTTATTAGTTAATTACATTTATGATTATGAGTACAGACTGGAGATTATTTTGAGATCATATTGAGATTTTAAAGTTTGAGTTTATTTTGCCCACGTGTTAGGGCTTTGCTCTGAGCTACAAGTGTGTGTGTTTTCAGTATTTTATTTATCAAGGGCATTTTAGTAAAAGTAGTACCCGGCCGGGTTAGGGTGTGTCACTTTGCCCCTAAACAAGGGCGAAATTTGTAGTGATTCTTGATTATTCATTTAATTATTCTTAATTATTTACATCGAACGGGAAACCACGTAAATCGCTATGTCCAATTTCTTTTCCCTTTCCGCATTATCGTATTTTACATGGTATTAGAACTGGTTAATTAGACCTAGCTATCATCATCATGAGTTCGGGCGACGAGAAGGAACAACCCTCGAAGCTCAAGTCTGGCGGCGCTGGCGGCTCCATGAATCCGCCCACTTTGCCGCCGCATCTCATACTCCATTACTCTGACAGCCCAAACAGTCAGTTTGTGGGGGAGCTACTCAACGACGTAAACTATAGTGAATGGGTCGTCGACATCACTGATTCGCTTATTGCGAAAAACAAGCTTTGCTTCGTGGATGGAACCCTACCGCCTCCACAAGGATCAGCCGAGACAGAGGCTTTACGCCAGTGCAACACCATGGTCAAGGGCTGGTTAAAAAGTTATATGACCAAAGAGGTACGTGGCAATGTACGTTTTGCGACAACTGCGCGGGAGATATGGGTGGATTTACAGTCCCACTTCGGCCACGACAGTGCACCACGCATCTACGAGCTCAAAAGCACCATCATTAGCCTGCAGCAAGAAAAGTCTTCTGTTCATGGTAAAGGAAACCGTACCGGACATCATACCGGATTCCTTTCTGGTATGGTATTTTGTGGTACGACCGTGGTTCAACCGTTTTGTACCGGTAAATACCGTTTTTCACTATTGATAGAGAAATGAAATGCGATAGTATAAAAAATATAATCCATCAAAAAAAGAACCAAATAGAGCATTATACAACCACGGTGACCCATTTTCAACATAGAAAAATAGCAAAATAATATTTTTTTTTAATTATTTTCCACATATTGGACGAGAATACGGAGAAATGAAGCTGAATCATAGACAGGAAACCGGATCATACCGGCCGGTTCAACCGGTCAACCCGAAAAAACCGGTCGGCACGGTAAAATCAGCACAATCAGCCCACCGTACCGCTTTTGGTCCAATTTCCGGTTGAACCGGCCGGTACGATCCGGTTTCCAGGTCTATGCTACTGTTTCCTCATTTTACACAAAATTACGCTGCTATTGGGACAAAATCCAGTCGCTAACTCCCTCGTTGGAGTGTACGTGTGCCTACTGCAGTTGCGATGTAAAGAAACGGCAGCGCGAGGTACGTGAGAACGAGAGGCTGTTTGATTTTTTAATGGGATTGCGGCTATAACTGCAGACCCTATTTACACCAATTGTGCTGATTTAGAGGTAGCAAATGGATTGATCCATGGATTGGTGGATTTGATTGGTGGATTCATGGATCAAATAGATTGGATCCAATGGATTCATGGAATGGTGGATTGTCCATGAATCCAAATAACATCCTCAACCAAGGACCAATATGTAAAATGTGAAAAGTTTAGGTACTAAAATGTCATAATGAAAAAATTTAGGTACCAAAATGTAATTTCCAATGATATTTTTCGTATAAAAAATTAAATTTTGGGTACCAAAATGTAAGATATAAAAATTATAGATACCAAACCGTAATTTGCCATTTGGATCCATGGATCGATCCATGAATCCAACAAATCCAATTGGATTTGGATCAAATGGATTGGATTTAAATGAATTGGATTAGGTGGATATTTTTAATGAGTTGGTGGATTGGATTGGTGGATTGGATTGAGAATTACCACCACTATTCTATTCAACCAAAAAACAAAAACACTGCTATATAAAAAAAAAATGCAACCCCCGAAATTGGCCAATGTGCATAGTCGGACTACGAGGATGGGGAACTCTGAATCCGTAAACCAAACCAAAAAGAAGCCTTTCCCCACAACAAGAGTCTTCTTCTACCAAACAAACTTTATATTCTGCAACAAAATATCCAGCAGAAGAAATAGCAACTCTGTTTATGTAGCTTGCCAAGACAGCACCCCTCTCAGAACAAACTACAGCATGGAGCAGCAAGCAAGGAGTAGGTACCAAATTTCTGCTTTCTAGATCCATATACACATCAAGGCTTCTAAATCCAGAACATACCCATCGCGGCTTCCCTCCGGCCCCTACGGTTGTAACATGGTTCCCAGTTAGTTTCCACTGGCTTCTCTCCATGTGTCCGGTCACCGGAAATTCCAGGACCGAGTTTTCCCCCTAGTCCTACCAGTATCAGAATCTCAATTACATATGTACAACAACAGCCAGGGATGAACAACATATGGAAGTTCATCATAACTTCCATCATACATGTGTTCACTTTATTATTGCATTAACAGCTTAACTATATGCATTCAATCCAAGTCTCGTTGCAGTATACATTACACCTCACAAAATCATGAGCTAATCACCCTCATTGATCATCTCAATAGCTGACTATGTTCAACATGTAAAGCTTTCTCAGAGATCAATGTACACCTTACTTTACTCACTTTGATGTGGAATGTAGGACTCTGAGGATTACTGAAGAACTAGTGGGAGCTACTGAACCAAAAAAAGGCGGGTACCAAACAGTGGAAGAAGGAGAGATGGGGCAAAAAAACAACTGCAGCCTAAGCAATGTTGGTTAAAATTCTATAATTGAGTATTATGGGGTTCTTTACTTTTTTTTGGGGGGAATCTCAGTCACGCCCTGACCTCTTTGTTTGCCGCCTTCTTATCAGCGCCAGTGTTCCCATCATCCATCAACTGTCCGGAAGGTTGTGCCTCCGTCGCCATCTGCATTTCCTTCCTCTTCTCTGCCACCAGTTTAGGACACATAAAGCTTGGCTGATTTGTTGATGACAGAAGCCTAGCCCACATTCTGTCTGTTATCACCACCTTGTTCTGTGTCTCGATGATTCTCTGGTCAAAGAAAATAGCAGGCCTTAGTTAGGGGTCACTTGGTAGCCATATTGTGGAGGTGGAGCTGTCAGAATATAAGTGGCTTTGGTTTGCAGGTTCTGCAGTTATTCACATGTGTTCTATCTCTGTTTGCATATGAAGATGTGATGATGGAAGCGCAATTTTACATGGCTATCACCTAGATATGGAGAACCTTAAGAAAGCTATAGTGACTATTAGGGCATCAACTTACATAGAAAGGGATGTATGTTTGCCGGCCATTTACAAGACCAGATGTATAGCCTGTGTACCCAGCCATTGCTCCATGAACACAACTCTGAGCGAGTAGTGTGCAGTAAACATTGTCAGATGCATTGCTTGGAATAGCACGAATCATGTAAGTGGGATCTGTTCAAACAACACAAATTTCAGTTTAGTTATCCATTGTCAAAAATTCAACTCAAGGTACAAATATACTAGCTTCCATGAAGTCCAACCTATATATTTGAGGTTTATGGGCATCTTCTGTGCTTTTAGATGATCCTGCCAAACATGAAAAGAGAACTGTCAATCGTTACCACAATGTTTCACCCTACAATTACCAGCAAACATAGTCTTGGAATTGAAGAGAATGAAGAAGGGGGTGGGAAGAAGGCAAACCTTGATATTCTGTGATAACCACAGCCCAACGTCTTGGAGAAGCTTATTTCCTGAAGCGTCTGTCATTGATTTAGTCTCAGAAATGAGCTCTTGCCCAGCACCTTCAGCTACCACAATAACCATGTGCCCACTTTCCTTTAGACGTTTCTCAACGAACTCTAAAAGACCACCTTCCCCTTTCAGGAAGAATGGTGATTCTGGAATGAGGCAGCAATCTACATCTCGACTTGCAAGAGTAGCATACATGGCAATAAAACCTGCACCCAAAATCAAATTGAATGAGCAAAACAAGCCAAAGAAAGAAGTAAAGAAAAAGGAACAGTCAACTATGACAACTTCACTAAATAAAAAGTGGCAGCTTCAGCATACTACAAGGGAACTCACCACTATAACGACCCATTAACTTCACAAGACCAATGCCATTCTCTCCACTTTCAGCTTCAACATGTGCAGCATTAATAGCACGTTGAGCCTCCTCAACAGCAGTGTCAAAGCCAAATGATTTGTCGATCACCTGTTTTGATTTAACCAAGTTTCAGACAGTTGATGTTTAGAAAATGATGAGTGGTTAAATAAAAAGCGTGGTTGCATTATTTGATTGGAGAAACAGATTGGCAGAGCAAAGTACAATACCGGAATATCATTATCAATTGTTTTAGGAATGCCAGCAACGACGACTTTGAGCCCCCGCCTTCTAACTTCCTGCATGTTAAAGATTTCAAATTACAGTTCCAAATAGTCTCTGGAATAAGCCTCTCAACTAGGTGCAATACTAGACAGTTATGGTTCAAAAATAGATTACCTCATATATAAGTGCAGCTCCTTTCTGTGTACCATCACCTCCAATAATATACACCTGCATTACCAAAAGAACTACATATCAACATCCATCGATTCCTGAACTCATAAAGAATCTAACAAACAAACCTGATTAATACCCATCTGTTCCATCTGGTCCACGAATAATTTTTCACAAACCTGATTAATACCCCGGTCCTCAATGCTGTCAACTATCTTTTTGGTATCATGACCTCCTCGTGAAGTCCCAAGGATGGTTCCACCACGTTTGTGAATATCATTCACAACCTTAAGCGTCAGGTCTATCGTGTTTCGAGCATAGAAGCCCCTGTATCCTCCCTGCATACAAGTTTCCCATTCAAAAGTGACTTCATTAGTTAGCACCAGAGCGTTTCCAATTCTAGCCTGTGGATCATAACATAGTTATAGGCCTGCAGCTTACATCGATCCCAAGCACTTTCCTCACGCCATACATGGAATACAAGGTGGAAACAATTTCTCTGATTACAGTATTGAGTCCTGGGCAGAGACCACCACAAGTCACAATACAAGCTTGGACTTCGTCGGAATCGAAGTAGACCTGTGAGACAACCACCCCCCACCATAACAATTGTATTAGTAAGAGAAACAGCCACACATATCTCATTTGCTTCATCCTCGTATCCAAAAGCTCGAAATTACAATGATTTTCACCTTTTGGCGTGGTCCAGCACGCCTGAAATGGACACCCCTCGGACTATCCTTATGAACAACAATCTATACCAAGAACAAGGGAACAGAAGAATCGTCCAATTAGAGATCATTCATCATTGAGCCCAGATGAAAGTACAGGAAACCAGACAGGATCCTTACTCTTTGAGGGACGGTGTCATCCACATCAACGAAGTACTGCCTGCAAGAAGCGGAACCCAGAATTGAAAAGGTTCAATTCCAATGCTGAGCGCGGGAACAGAAACCTGGGCAAGCCATAAAAAGAAAAAGCTTCCAAATAGTTTGGGGAGAAATGGGGAAATCCCAACTCACTTGACGACGGAGTAGGCAGGATTGTCTTGCAGAGGATTGGAATGAGTCTGAAAGAAACCCAAAAAAAAAAGAGAGTTCAAATTCCACCCCAATTTAAATTTGGTCCTCTAATTCGGCTGATGATTGAATCACTAATCCTCCCCGCAACCAGAAAAGGGAATCAATTAAAAGTTCCCATTTTCTCAGAGACCCAATAAAGACACCGACGGATCAAGAAATCCCGATTGAAAAAGCCAGCTACTACGATCCATTAAATGGGTAGAAGGAAGAAGAAGGAAGAAGAAGAAGAAAAAGAGCGTACTGGAAGATTGGGGAGGTAATCGGTCAAATGAGGAACATCTTCAAGAACGTAGCCATAATCGCCGTTGACGATCTTCGGCTTGAACAGGCCATTACCGACGCCGCCGTTTGCGGTGGTGGCCTTGTTGTCAGACGCTGCTGGTGACGGTGCCGCCATGAGACGCCGGGACACGGAACTGAAATCGAGACGACGAGGACCGAAACTGAAGCTGCCGGAAGGAGAAGAAAGCCCGAGGGAGCAAGTGCTGTTGGGGCAGGAGGCAGCGAGGGAGAGGATCAATGGCGACGAGTGGTGAAGAGAGAAAATCGATGAATCCATGCACCGAAAGAGGAACTGGGTGGGGAGTATTTGGAGAGGAGGCCGCCCATACTTATAGGAGACGACTGTTGACCATCTGGAAACCAGAATGGAGCAGAGGATGAAAAAGGGGGAGAAAATTTATGTAAATATTATTTGAATTGAGAGAGACGAGGAGCAAACAAGAAAAAAAAGCTGCAAGAGGATTCTGGTTCTGGTTTTGGACCGCAGAGGTTTTTGTGAATATTAGGCAAACAGATGGCGTGGAGAGCTCCGGTTTTCGAATCGTTCAACCGAGCAATTGGGTTGGGGGAGAAGGAAAGTGCGACGAAAGTAAAGGGGAAAGAGAGGTTTGATTGATCGGTCTGTATGTTCTAGATTCTGTTATGCTCGTCTTCTGACTCGATAATTATTTTCTCGGAAAATTGTTTTCTGTTGGATTAAACGAGGGACGAGAAAATTCTCTTTTTCTTGACGGAGGGACAACAAGACAGATAGAATTGCCGTGAGAGAAAAGTCACAAGGTAAAAAAGGTTAATCTCTATCGAGGTTGTCAATCCGCGGGTTGACCCACTTTGACCCTGACCTAATATATAACAGTGCATAGCGCAAAGTCGCTAAAATAATCCATGGTGGTTTTACTGTTGACACTAGACTAGATGACGCATCAAAGCATGCCTAATCCTATTCTATTTATAGAAAATAATAATAAATAACATAGAAAATAAAATATTAAAAAAAAAAAACTGATACGTACGGCATATGCCGTTGTTCTTCTAGTTCCAAAAAAGTCACCCACCGTTTTAAGGCCTAGGCCTACTAATTGGTTAAGCTACTGAAAGAATTGATTAGTAATGCATAATTAAACAACACCAATTATTAATTAACGAGTTAATTAATTAATGAGAACTGTATGTTTGGATTTTACTGGCGCCGGTCTTTTTACTTTTCGGGTCCTGCCTTCTTTTTTCACGGTAATCATTATTATCACAGCTCTCCGGCGGCTCTGTACGTAAAACGTGAATCACTTTGCCGGTAAACGCAGATCTCGTGGTACAGGTACCAGCTGCCAACTTATAATTAATGGCTCCATTCCATCTTCAAGCTGTGACTGAGCCCTAATTATCTCCCCCCACCAAAAGCAAGAAAGCAGATGGGAGGTCTAAAATCTGATAAAGTATTGGTAATTAAGCAAGGCAATCCACGTGTTGGAAGACAGATTCGGCCGTAATATAAAAAAAAATGGATTTCCCCTTGCACCGATTCGTGCTCCATATTTCGTTATAGTGTTTTGTTAGTAATTGTGGATAAGATGCTTTTATGTGTATACGGTAATTAAACGACGGCGTTTCCAGTCGGCGGTGAGCGTTTGAAGGTTGGTTCATTTCCTTATGAGTCAGGACACGTGGAGGCTGATGAAAGATGACACGTGGCAACCCATGAGCGTGGCTTTTTTTATATTATTTTTTCTTCTTCTTTCATTTGTTAGTGTGTGCTGCTGGAGAAATGCGCATGGGTTTCCAGCACATCCCATGCGACTACTAGAACCATCCTTAGAATATTCCGAGTCCTCCTTCCATCCCTCCGATCGAGTCCAACTCGGATGGACGTCAGCCCGAAAATTAGGGATGGCGAATTACCCACCCATGGGTAATTATACACAATTGATAATGGGTTGGGTATGGGTGAAGTGCATATGGATTTGAGAGTTTATAGATGGGTTTGGGTAAGGTATGAATATTGCTTCCATAATCTAAATGGGTATGGGTTGGATATGGATATTCATTTACTTGACGGTGTTTTAACTATACATGCAAAATTTGGACCTATTTGTAAAACTTGAAAAGTTTTTGGTCATCCCATGAGAGTGTGTTAGGTCCTCCTTTAAGTTTTTCTATAATTTTTAATTAACCCACGTTTCTTCGTTTCAAAGTGAATTTGAATATTTTGGACATAGAAATCAATAATAACACCATGACTCACGAGCACGAATATACGAACCATGTCCCTATTCAGGGGCGGACCCACGGATGTTTAGGGGTGTCCCCGGACACCCCTAAATTTTGGGAAAACGATTATCCAACCCCCGTTAGTAATTTACTTATTGACAAAAAAATTATAATTGATAGTCGGGGACACCCCTAAATTTAAAAAAGTGATTATCTTACTCTCATCTTTTAGTTTGAGTATGAGAATATAAGTCGTAGTTAGGGTAATTCAAACCTAGGACATTTTTATTATTAATAAACATAATTTTCATTAGACTACAACTCATACGTTATTCGATTTTAAACACTGTGTAATAATATAATGTCATTCTCTATCTCTAATTATTTTCAAAATCTAACAATTAAACAAATTTCAAGCTACCCTTAATTTGTATTGATTTATGGTTGTACAACTAGTATTGAAAGAGTGTTTTCAGCTTTGGATTACATCAAGAACAAGTTTAGAAATTGAATATGTGATCAGTTCGTGAATGATTGTCTGATATGATATACAAAGTCAATTTTTTTGAATAGTGTAGACCCCAAGTGTGTTCTACAATCATTTTTTAATATGAAAACACATTGTGAATTTTTTGAACCTGTATGAGTAAAGTATTTCTTATTTAAATATTATTTATTTTTTATTAATTATTTTAGAATTATTTGTATTTAATTTATTTTTTAAAGGAGGACACCCCTATGTAAAATTTCTGGGTCCGCCACTGTCCCTATTTAACAAAATTACTAGAAACATCAATATCACTAAGTTTTGTACCTCCATACAGGATTGACGCATATACCATCATAACTCATGGAGCAAGTTCAAATTTTACAGTGTTACTAAACTATACAAATATGATTCAGTTTTCTACCCATAATGCATAACAGATTCATGCATGTCTAACACACTATCGTTGAGTATAAATTAAATTAATTATCTTATCGGTAAAAATTCGCCTACCGGCCAACTGACCAGGTTAAAGCTAGTTATATATATTGGAGGATTTTAGTTTGACTGACGTCATTATAGCCCAAGGAATAGGGCCCATGATCCATCTTTGTAGCTACATAAATAAAACACCCTAAATTAAAGGCCCATAATAATTATAAGACTACTGTTGGCCCAGGCCCACATTAAGAGCTTCCTTCTCCTCATTCAACTTATAGTCTCCTTTTATTCTCTTCCTTGTACTTTGCAGGGGTGGGAAACGGTGCGGTCCGGTCCGGACCAGACCATAGATACGGTTTGTGGTCCAGACCGAGAGGTTGGAACACAGACCATGGACCAGACCATATAATATACGGTCCAGACCAGATCACACCTGTGTGGTGCGGTCCGGTATGGTCTAGACCAGACAGACCATGTTAAAAAAAATTAACTCTTGTTCGCCCTCCAACCCTTCACCGGTATCTATAAAAAAAATCTAGTGACCAACATGCTAGTGAAACAAAAAAAAATGTGATCATATTAAATGAGAAGAAATATGAGGATAGAAGTGGGTTTTTTCAATTTTCAAATAGCCTTATTTCCCTATTCCTCTTTGTGCTACCGCTTCTCTCCTCTCTCGAGTGATCCGAAGGTTCTCCCAATTTATAACCTTTTTTATGACGTCGAGGTAATTTCGAACCATTAAGATGGTCGCATATCTCTCAATAATTTTCCTTATCTCATCAAGGTGAACGAATCTTTTTGTAGTGTTTAATTTTTATCGAATCCGTAGTCTAGACATTATCTGTGAATATTATTTATGAGTCTTTCTAATTTTTGTGTGGTACTTTGATAAGGAGATAACATATAAGCGATCATTTTGCAATTTGTTGGCTCTCAACTAGATGAAGAATAACCTAACTTTGTTCTTCAAATACACATATGGAGGTTCAATTTAGTGTTATTTTTGTCCAAGGTAGTAGGTAGTGTGTCGCGGTCTGTTACGGTTTACTGCGGTAGACCGCGGTCCAGACCACTTCAGACCACGCACTAAAAGAGGAGACCGCAAACCAGACCAGACCATAATTCTGGTCTCACGGTCCAGACCAAACCATACGATACGGTCTAGACCGCGGTTTCCCATACGGTTTGGTCTGGATTCCCAGCCCTAGTACTTTGGCACCGATGCCGGCATGCCGCTATTGAAAGGCAAGTGGAGTTCATGTATCTAAAACCAATTTTCAATCCCCATTTTTATCACTTTGCAGTAATTAACATTCACTTTGAAATTACACCCAAGAATAACAAAGAAACGGATAATTACTTTTCCAATTTTGGTTACTGGAATTATGTTTTTTTTAGTTAAACTTCATGAATATAAACCATGCACCTAAGTAACTTATATTGACTCCCGAACCCACGATAGACATGTTAACGAATTTGGTGTGTAATTCAAACTTCGACTCTTTTCTTTCCAAAAAATTCATCAACATTTCACAATGTTATGTCACATTATCTTAAATGTATTTTGGTTACCCTTTAGAATTAACCCTCACTCAAATCTCAATCACTAAATTAACAAACCTTCGACTTTATATTGTGTTAATCATTAAAAAAATTAAATACTAAATCATTAACCCTTCACTGTTAAAAACTTAATATCAAAGACTGCACCTTATATCCCAATTCTATAAATGACAGAATACTTGAAACCCTTTGCATTTTTATCAACAAATTTAGAATTAGTGATTACAAAAGATCAATGAGATTATAAACACAATTTTACCCGATAATAGATAGCAATCCCAAAAACGGGGCTTTTGAACCAAGAAACTACGCTAATTAAAAAGGGTTCGATAAAAACTAAAAAATTAAGAAAATACAAGCAATTATTCAGCACCAGTACTCTCGCCACTCGCCACCGCCCACCAGTCACCACTATGGGTAATGGGTATGACAAAGAATAACTAACCATTCACCGTATTACGTGGAGTTTTTTTTGGTGGGTGGAAATATGGGAATAAAAAAGAGAAAAATAAAAAATGTAATTACTATTATGCCATGACCGAAAATTAAGGAGGGTTCACCAAATTTGAAATGGAGAAAAATTGGTAAAAGACAACTATATTATATACTAGCTTATAACCCGGCCAGTTGGCCGGAATATTCATATTTATTATTTATATTTTCATGTTATATTTAGGTCTATCAACCCGTTTAATTTTATTGACAATCATTCGATCGAGATTATACGTAAAGAAAGAATATATATAGGTCGAAAATTTGGAGAAATAACATCATCATTTAAGAATATAAAATATAAAAATGTATCATTGATCACATTTTCATAATGATAATTACGTCCCCGATAAAATGATATTGGTTAGTTGATTGTCAAGAAAGATAGAGCATAAAAGCTCACTAAAATTTACACACGAACCATAGATAGTTTGAAACTAAATGGAGAGTTGTTGATTCAAGTCCACTATACACTAACAACTCGGCTAAGAGGGGACCATCAAAACTTGAGAGCAAACACCAAAATTAGGGTACCTCCAACATACTAACAAACTCGATCAAAGGAATAAGGAACAAAATTAGACATTCCTTCTTTATCAGTTCCAGTAGGTTGAATAAAGAATCAACCGACCTACTTCAGTAAATCAATCAATGATTCTTCGTTTTAAGATAAAATGAGGTTGCAATAGCTGCAAAAGCCATAAACCTAAAGATCCAATAGCCACCACTCTCCGTTGTACAATAAAAAATTTATCCACTCTATCAAAAATCTCAAGCAGCGTATGTATGTTTCAACCAAATATTCAATTTCTAATCCTCCTTCTACAATTCCATTTATTAAACTCCATTCTATTCACCATAGATTGATATCGGAGTTGAAATCATCTACTTGCCTAGTTTAAATCCTCAAGAATAAAAATATAAAATCGTTGTGCCAAGAGATATCGGAAGATTGATTTTCAAAGGCGGCCTTGTATTGTGAAGTGAAAGGGGCGCAAACTATTGCACGATGGATGGAATTTGAGAGGAAGTTAGAAAGAGATCAGAAAAAGATTAAAAAAAGTACTAAATTTAAATATAAATTGAAAACTGCAAGGACACAATACGTAGTAATAGAATTAGTTTCTTCCGTGTTAGCCAATTACCAATATACCTTTAGCGAAAATTAAGGAGAGAGCAGTAATTTTAGAATTGAGAAACTACATGAAACTCTGCTATGAAAATTGAAGTATCAAGCACAATAAAAATACATACGGTAGACTTAGTGGGCTTGCTAATCATGATGGAAAAGTCCATTGATTTTCATAGTTTTACTTCGTGTATGTTTTGTATTAAAAATGATACAACAAATTTGTTTAGTGTGATTGGTTATAATTGTTGTCTTTGTTTGAAGAGACCCGGGTTCAAATCCTAATATTGACACTTTTTATATGGAATAATTAATTAATTAATTGTAAAGACAGAAATGTCCTTCCTACTTTCACTCTCGTTGCAGGAAACTTGAAATAGAGAAAAGTAGACAAAACTCTACTATATATTATTGGAGGACTAGCTTATAACTCGGCCCGTTGGCCGAAATGTTCATATTTGAATATTTATAATTTTATGTTAAGTTTAAGTCTATCAACCTGTTTAATTTTTTTTATAATCTTTTGAATTAGATGATACATAAAGAAATAATATATAGGTTGAACACTCGAAGAAATATCATCATCTTTTAAGAATATAAAATATAAAAATGTAT